ACACCTACTACGCTCTCTCACTGCTAATAAATTAAATCGTAATATGGGGTTTTTGGAAATTATATCTGTGACAGGAAAATTGTTTACTAAATTTAATTTACGGTGATTTCGAGCTGTTCATGCAGTTTTACGGAAAATTTCACAACTCAAAACCAGTGACTTTTACACCGTTACATTATTTAAACTGATTTGGAAACCCAATTATTTAAGACACATTCATATTGAAAACGTCGAGTAATTTTCAATATCCGGTCTTTTCAACTCCCTGCAAATTTGTACACTCTAGATAAATACATTTACCCGAAATCGTCTTGTCAGGTAATTTTAGTTTCGATGACAGTGGTAGTAATACGTTGACTGCTTTCCCTGCGCCATGTCATTTTACCGGCCGCACTTGTCTAATGGTTAATGACTTTTTATAATTTATTTAAATAATTAATTTATATATTTTTGTTAATTAAAAAGTTCTATATGAAATTTGAAATTTTATATTAAAAAAGACGATTTCGTGTAATAGTTATTTACATAAAACTCAAACAGTCAGAAAAATGACACTTTACTGGCGAGGAAATATCGAAGTACAGGCCCCTTTAGTTTCCGACACCTTTGGAATTTTTGTGTGAACAGGGAATTAGAACTGGCAAGGAGTCTGAGTGCAGACCAAAAAAATACCCGTGTCATCATTCAATATATGCAATTAAAACGGAAACACTTATACTAAATATAAAAATAAATAACGTGCATTGAAGTGCAAAAGAGTGCAAACAATTAAATTTTTAGGTGCCCATTAACAAATTGCACGAATAGAACAATAGATCATTTATACCTGAAAATAAAGAACAGCAATTAGTTATTCAATATTGTTGTGAAAATGTAATTATGATGCACAAATGCCACTAACATTGTTTTAAAGATTAAAGTAAATATAATTTGAACAATTTTAAATAATTAGGTAAAGTAATTTACCTAACTAAGACCTATACAATTTATTTACCTTTACCTTTTCTTTCTCTTCAATTCGATTCGTATATCTAAATCGAAGGTTTTTCTGAATGAACATTTCGCCCATCAAAACAGAGATTGAGTTTGGTACGAATTGTGCAACAAGGTGGTAATTACTGATGGCGAGACTACTACTCTGGTGCAATAGACTAACTTCTACGTGACGTGAGTAATTAACAATTGCCCATGTATGTGAGTCATACTATCGACTTTCGCCTCATTTATACCTGTTAGTTTAATTAAAACGTAATCTTTTCTTTAGAATGTTACATTTCTTAAAAATTCGCTTTGTTAATGGGACATGGCTACTAGTTTGGTTCCCATTTTATTTAAACCCTGATAACCACCTTATTGTACATTGTACAATTACCGTTTTTCTCACAATGTTATAGTATTCTCATTCAACTTGTGAATTCAGTCTGACAAGTTCGATTTATAAACCGAAAATTTCGACTAATAATTCGACGTTTTTGCTTCAACACTCCTCAGTGAAGATGGGAAGTACTGATGGTTTCTCCTGCCTTTACGGTAATGAGGAGTATAGTTCATCAAAATTGCGAGTAAATGAAGATTGACTGAACGTGGTTCGAATCGTCACCCATTTTGCCCATTGATCACGTTTTTTCTACCCCTAACTGACTTCTTACTCGCTCTACTTCCTAGCGGCAAATATTCCCAACACCCTTACAAAGCTTGGTACAGGAAAAAGTTAGTTATCGTTACATGGCTGATTGTTTGTAAAGTATCCTAGTATATAGTCAAGTACATATAAATCGTCATGTCTGCCAGCGAAATCCGGTGGCTTAAATCTGGGACGGTGAAATACGTCAAATTTTAATAAAATTCCCGATTTTCCGATTATATTTACCTCTGGCATCTTTGTTTTGAACCCGACACAAAACGCTATAGGTCTTTTTTTGTATTTAACATTTTTGGCCATGGTGCTTACGTTTCGAGAAAAGTGCAAATTTACAAAAAATTATAAAATAAATAGTTTAACTTTTATGGCCCTTTTAGACTAATCTCTTAGACTTTAAAAAAATTATAGACTATAGTCTCTAAAATTCATAGAAAGTCGGTTTGTTTTATGTTGACCGAAACCTGAATATTTCTGATAGACAGCCCGCAGAGCTGGCAGAAGTGAGAAAAATTACGCTACTATAATTATACTAAGAAATACTGTGGAAAAATCTTGGGAAAAACTACCAAAAAGAGACAGCATCTAACATTTGTAGAGCCGGCTTCCTTTAGATTTCCTGACAATGAACTATACACTATTTTGATTATATTCTGCGATACAGGAGACAAACTACTACAATCATTACTTTCAGTAGGTCATAAAGAAATAGCCAATAGAAACAAAGGTATGGTTGGTTAGCGCCGCATAATAAACACTTGATCCTATTGCCTATTTCATAATGATCTGATAATAGTGCCTAATGATGGTATATACCCTCCATAAGACCTTGCCTCTACATTTCTAGAAAAATTTCTTGTTTTAGATCGCCCTCATTAATCAAACTGCAAATTCATGAAAAAAAGTATCACTTTCAAAACTAGTTGTACAAATAACTATTTCAGCATAACATAAGTCTGGATACACTATTTGAAACTTGTGTCATAGCCTTATACCGTTTTTAGTACTTTATGGCTAGTTAACATTTTTTGTGTTGGTAACCCTACATTCTCATAAATGGAGTATGCTACGTTACAATATCCGACCAGAGTATATGGGCGAAATTTGATATCTCAGGTTGTACACGAAAGTAACTAACATAAAACATCAAAAAACTCAAATATCTCAAATTTCTGGTATTCTTTGATAGCTTTTTGAGGTTCTTTGAGATTTTTGTCACATGTTTGGATAAAAAAACTGCAAATACGATTGAAGGATACCAAAAAAAAACATTCATGGGTGTGCTATTCATACCATAAGTACCAACGATATCATTACATATTACAGAATACCAGGCGTGTGTAATGCACTATCAAATTTGTAGGCGGACGCAGAAATGAGCGCAAAAGTGTATCTTAAATTAGTTTCAAAATGAGGGTTGTGGAGGGCTTTGCATACACTGCACACTTCAGTAACTGGGGAACGATTCATGGTATCTAAATAAAATTTTCCCTAAACTTACGACCACCGAGAAGGGGGGTTGAAGTTTTGAATATCTCCGAAACGAAAGTACCACACATCGCATAATCGATACCATTATAGATGTGTCAACTAACATTGCAACCAATGCTTTGATTTTCTTCGAAGTGAAAGCCTCAATGTCAGAATCTTTGAAAAACAAGCACCCACGTTTTCCGTTTCTCCAAGAATATTGTAATTGCACTACACAACTTTTGTAATTATCTGATCATTGTATAATAAAGCTGTAGATTGAACAAAATAACTATTCGGAAACTAGAAACTACTTTTTACCACCCCATTTCATAGGATTCACACTCGAAGAAATATTAGTATGCCTCTGATGTAAAGGTAAAAATTTGGCCCAATTTCAAGAACTGAATCAAGTTCGAAAAATCTCGTTAATTGTGCTAAACGCGCTCATGTGTAAACGACTCATACCGTATTTACCGATTTAATTTAAAATAAAAAGGCAAAAAATGATAAAAAAACTTTCTAACCGTTTTTGAGATCTGCGAAAACCTACTCGTACATACATAAAGGCTCATTTTGTGTAATTATATTGAATTTTGAAACCTACGATGTCATTAACAGACCGAAAATTACCCTTCCCACATCGGGCTATAGCTGCTACTCAAGTACTGTACATCGCGCGATTACGTCGGTAGATCCTGAATCCTCTAAGAAACAATTCCGATAAATGAGTTACAAAAATGAGGGCCTACCTTACAAAGTAACAAAACTCTTAAGAGGTTCTGGAGAGATCCCTTTGGGACCGAGTACTTTAATTTCCGAGTCAAGTAATGTCATTTTACTGACGAGTTTTGTATTAAATTTTACCCGAAATCGTATTTTAACATAAAATTTCAATTTTCATAGGTATAGAACTTTTGATTAATGCCAATCTGTCATTGATGACAGGAGTCATTATAGACATTTAGCAATGTGACAGGTGCGGCAGGAAAAGTGACAAGTGCGGCCTGTAAAGTGACAGGTGCGACCGGTAAAGTAACATGCGGCAGGAGAAGTAGACTGGTCTACCTTCGTCATGGAAACTAACATTTCCCTGACATAAAGTAGGCATGAATGATGAAAATTAAGGTTTCATGACGATTTTGGGTAAAATTTACATACCTGCTATTACAAAAACTTTTATACTTGGCGAGGGGAGACAGTTTTCCGCAACTTTAACCAAAAGCCTAAAGTCACGTCCATTATATAGATATTTAGTTTTGAGTTTGGGTTTCGAAAGTTTTACAGTAGACAACTAGCTACTAAAAAAGTTGTGTTTAGACCAACTGTATTACTTACTTTTTACTTATCAAAGTATTGATAATACCATAGTGTAAACAATCTTTACACTATGATAATACTAAATACTAACAAGATTTCAGTAAAAATAGATAGGATAAAATATTGCCACTTTGTGTGTATTTATTGCATCTATTTAAGAAGTTACGGCGAACCTTCTCTACGATCGTTTTAACAATTTGATCACACCACAGGATGCCAATAGAAAAAGAAAGTGATGATAAAAATCCCACAGTAAAACGAGTAGGTAATGAAAAGACGTTTTAAGACATTCTTTGAAATTTGACTCCACCTTTTATTAAGTAGGTTCCCATTACAAATTAGAAAGAGAAGGTATACCCTACATGAACTACTACTGTTACAATTAGGTTCGAAAATTTGATATAGTATACTTTCACTACCAGCTCATATTTGCTAAATATTCGCCTTTCTTTGGTAAATGAAGATACGCACGGAAGAAAAAGTTTTACATACAATTTGCAATACAAATTAGTTGGTTGTCATTGGATCGTTAATTAAAGCGAGCCCACCAATAAGGAAAACAAAAATGCACGAGCTGTAAACTTGACATTCACTTTCAAGTGCATTGAACCGGCAAGTTACATCACGATGTAACGCAAATATCAACAAGACGTAAAACGCGATCCTATTAATTGTAATTTTCTTCGGTTTAAATTGGATTTATTAAGGCGACTTTCGATTTTTTTATGACCGGCAAAATAGACTGCTGTTTAGTAATTGGTGTAATTAAATGGCCTGGTACTGTCCGCATGTCCGCAACAATAACTCGCGTGCGATGAGCTATTAACAAATGACGATCTTCGGTGAAAGTACTTCTGTAGTAGTGAAATTGTAAATTTGCCAGAGGAAAATGTAGGTTATTTATAATGGAAAAATGAAGCAACACATTCTATAAAAGAGAAGACCTTTCTTGTTCGGTGCATTTGTGGAGAAGAAGTGAGAGTGGTCGGTGAAAAGTAAATTTGTTCTTAGTGCGTGGAATAGTGTAAACATGCAGCCCTTGGTAGGGACTTATTTTTATTTCATTTAGTTTAGTGCTTCAATTTTAGGTCCTTTTGGGAATATGCGTGCAAATCAGTTACGTACTATCAACGGCAGAAGTGAAACCCGGCGCAAACGCAAATGCAATTCCAGTAACCCAGCGGCCAGAAATGTATTACGTTGAACCAAGCGAGCAACCTCACACTAATTTCATCCCAGTCCAGGTGATTCCCAAACCTATTTTTCTATCCCAACAACCCACAATGCTGATAATTGCGCAACCGACGTACGTACCTCAACAGGTACTATACGGTAACCCGGCAACTGCTCAGCAGCAACTCCTAAATTACTTCCACAGTAACCCTCAAGCCAAGTACCAATTTCTGTACGGCGGACAACCCCAACCAACCGTTCCACCAGCGTTTGTAACACAGAACGCGATCGGCGCATCCTCCTTGGCTTCCTACGACGTTTTACCTCATCCCTTCCTCAACCACGTCCCTCAAGCACCAACGACACAGTTCACCAACCACTACGCCCAACCAATGCAACTCAACCAAATAGCTCAATTAGCTCAATCGGCAGCACAACAATTTAACACACCAATCCGCAGCGTACCTCCCATCATAACGGGTTTTGAGAACTTCACCCCGGAACAGCAGGTACAAATCAAGGCGCAGTTGCGAGCGCATCTGGGCGCACCATTGGCCACGACCGCGTCGATACCGACAACCACAACTCAGTCTACTCAAAAGAGTGAGGATAAGAATGCTCCTTCAACCGCTAACTATAACACCCCCGGTGCAGTAATGTACAGGGGTCAGTATACCAAAGGATGAAGCGATAGTTCGAAGTTTCTTGGGTTAATTTATAAGACTGATGGGCTTTTCTGTTCTAATACTATAATGTTGTTGAATATTGTTATTTAAATAAATAAACTTACACCTTTTGGTGTCTCATTTTAAGTTGGCAAACTTGATATTTGAGAAAAATAAGACAGTATTATCAATTTTATTGACCCTAGTTTAGGTTATGGTAGGTATGTTTATGTACCACTGCAAGAAAAATGATTGCCAAAAGACCCCAAAATTGAACTCGTATTCCCTCACCGCTTTTCTCTAATGTGACAGACGAATATGACGACAGCTAATAATCCTTCTCCCAACAATTGAGAATGCACGTATCTGTTTTATTAAAGTTATTCATTTGAATAGTAGAATAATTATTGCCAAACAACCCTAAATCGAATTGGTAATGTCCGGACCACTCCTAAATTGAAGTGCTATTGCTTCATATGCTTCTTTTATATTCCCAGGGTCCCAGTTTAAAACAACTTTATTACATTGGTCACCTTTTTGTTTGATATTTTGGCAGGCGAATTTCCATTTTAGTTTTGCCACTTCTTCTCTGATGCCTCTTACTTTTATTTTATTTCTTATCTATTCTTTATCTGACAGTTTCACGTGTAACATTAATCTTTCCATTGATCTTTGTGATTTCCTTACAAGTTATTCAGTCTGTTTCGTTTTGTTGTGCCACCCTGTATATGGTCCTCATGGTTTAGTTCAAGGGTGTTTTTCCTGCATTTAAGAGGATCTGTGGCCTCCAACGCATTTCTTAATATAAATATTTTCCGTGGCCCTTAATTATGCTATTATTATTATATATCTCTACTAACTAGCGGGTGCGCTACACCTACCCCCCCCCCCCTAGCACTATAAAGGGTATACCTAGCACCAAAGTAATAGACCTAGCACCACACCAGGACTGTATCTATGCCCTAAGTAAACTGGAAGGGGCAATTGTTACGCTTGCCCTCCAGGTGAAGGTGCAACCTTGAAACTTAAATCTAGCACTACCTACCACCAAAGTACCAGACCTAGCACCACACCAGGAGTGTATCTATGACTTAAGCAAACCGGGAGGGGCTATTGTTAGAGATCTAGAACTGTATTGTTTTTGGTGAAAAGAAAAACACGTGAGTTTTCGCGATTTTTCCAAAATTTTCCGAGAAAATGTTGTCACCACCTCGCATGTACCTATAGAGTTCAAATTGTTAATCTCTGTAACCCAATTATTTTTGATAAAATTCGAAAGACACGTTTCAAAGTTTTCGCGATTTTCCGGGGGTTTCCGAGAAAATGTTCATGTTCATTACAGGGCGCACTTTCGAAGTTATCAAGCTCAGAAATTCAGGGTGTCGTTAATGTTTGGGTCCTATTGTTGGACAGTGTCACCGGAAATTAAATTTAGCATATACAGGGTGTTTTATGAAATATTTGCTTATTGATATGAGGAAAAATATCACCTTAACGATATAAAATGTTAATTCTGGTTTTAGTCTGGGTACTTATTGTCATCTCGGCCATTTATGAACCAAATTGCATGAAACTGGAACTGGACGTAGCCAGTGCCATATCAATTTAATGTCACCGCTTTGGCATTTTTGATTACGTATCGTTATGACAGTCTTGAAAATGATTAATTTATAACAGTAAATCACTTACGAATAACGGCGCGAACCATTTATTACTTCGGTGTTCTAATTGCAACTGAACTGTAACGCAATCCGATTTGCTTTGATTTGATTTGATAAGTGGTAAAGTCGAAGGTTCCCGAGCGGTCGCGAACATTCGAGAATAAAATACGTCATATTTCTCGGAAAGATTGCGTCACATCTCGCCGATTAATAATCTTTCATGGTGCCTCAATATTTATGGAAATTTTCGGAACGTTTACAATGCTAAAAACTTTATAAGTTATAACAAGAATATTTAACGATAAAACACTTCCTCTAGACCAGGGATCGCCAAACTTTTGTTGTAAAAAGGCCAAATATTGTACGCGGTCCGCGGAGATTAGTGCGGGTCGCACTTGGGTCAGTTACAGTATACCTATAATTTTATGTACAAAAATTTTAATTTAAAATTTAAAAAAATGATCAAAGTCCTCGAGTAAGATGCAAGGGACTTCAGCGCATTTTTGTGCGACAGATCAATATTCTATTATCCAGTTTTTATTCCACCATCAATAAGATCTTGTCGGGGGGCTACCACATTCCCTTGTCGGTACCCACCTCCCACGTCCCGTTCTTGACTTTTTATTTAATGGAATAGGTTTAAGCTGTACCAAACGCCCAATTGTTCAGAAAAAGTAAATACGTATCAATTAAGGAATGATGGTGTATATTAAGTGTCATTCAAATTTCAAGATTAATTATTGCCTGACAACCCTTAAATTGAACTGACATTCCCTCATAGTTTTATTGCTTAAGACGTAGGACTACGTATAAAGATTACTTAGGCAATAATTGAGAATGTCTGTATCAATTTTACTGATATTACTATGCAGATCATGGTACATGACACGAGAATAATTATTGGCGGACCACCCCTAAATTGAATTGACATTTTGCTGTGGTAAAGTGTCATCTAACAGTAACTATAAGAATGATTATTACCCAAGTTATTACCGGAACACCCCTATACAGAATTACAGTTTCATCATCGTTTTGTTATTCACTAAGATTTAGCCCCAAAACTTGTTTGATTAATTTCATTTATAAATTTAACAGATTTAACAACGTCGCGTCTCTATGGTAATGCGTAAAAAATGAGCACCCCTTTAGAGGATTAAGTTTTAACAGTTTTAAACATTGAAATTAAAAATTAGGATTAGAACTCATACAAATATTCCGTATTGCTGTAGGTATTGCGCCAGTTTTATAACGTCAGTCATCGTTAAATATATTTGGACATCATATAATAAAATAAACTCAAGTTTGTTTCGCCATTTACGAAACTGTGACATGAAATTTAATTTTTTTTAACAGGTTGCATTGCAAAGATTGGTGAAATATAACAATTGCAATTCGGTTTGTACAGATTCTGAGAAATAGCATTTTTTTTGACAACATAATAAGACTAACTACCGAATTTGAAACAAAGACGAGTACTTACAAGTTTTATGATTTAGCAAATATAATTACCGTTATACCTAAATGGTACAGAGGTGAATTAGAGAATGGTTCCGTGTCACATCAAAAGGAAATTAGAGCGTCTACTAAAATTAACTGTTTCAGTAATGTATTATAAATTATATCAAGTTTTGGCAACATTAGGTTTTTTTTTCTTACAATTTGACCTAACTGTTGTGCATTTTGTTGTCCTTGTGTAAAAGTTAACTACACATCTAGGACATGACCTAAATTAATTATTTAAATTATAACCTGTAAGGTTTCATTCAGAACTAAAATCAAATCTTGCACTTTTTGGGTTTTTGGTGATTATATCCTCGCTCACTCATACAACGCTAGGAAGATGATCCGCGAAACACACAAACTCTCTAGCTTCTGCCTTTTCTCCCCTACCGTCAAAGTCAAGGTCCCACCGAGTTTTTATGAAACTCATAACTACCTCAAGTTCTTTTAACATCTTCCTTAAAGGAAGAAAAGAAAAAGGAAGCCTCTTTTATTGCTAACACGAAGAACATACATTACCTAATAAATTATTTATGCAAAAATAACGATCTTGTTCAATCCGAAGATACATTTCCAAAAAGTAGTTTCCAAATGCTGAGGAAATTTCTAAAGCTGTAAATTTCTTCCGTAAGTATTTACGGTAAATCTCACATACGCAACAAAAGCAAATCCAGGAATCAAATATAATGAGGATGAAGGCAAAATACTCAAAAATCGCAATTAAAAAAGCAGAATCGAAATAACGCCAAAATACTCAGCAACATCATGTTTCGAATATATTTTTTGGCTGATGCAACGGAATATTTTTTAACCCATTTTTGCAAATTTAGCTAGCTCGCTTGCTGGCAGCAAATGAGGGCCATTATACAAAACGCTTGTAGAAAGACAAGCAGGGTACACGTCCCTCCGGGGCCGTGTAATTAATAACTTTACGGATCGAGCCTACTTTTGACGTCTAAATTAAATTCAGAATTGTCAGAAACTTTAAAATGATTGATATGGCTTCTAATATAAAATAAACTTTTGAATTACACACGATAATAAAGTTGTAAAAGTCCTTAACTTTTACTTTAACATTATGACCGACTTTACTCCAACCACCCGGACTGTAGCGTAATTTCTTTCTATTATAGTATGTATATATCCCAATAAATAAGGTGTCTGTTTATTTACTGAATGGTTTCGAAGGAACAATTTATTCCCGCTTAACTTCGATATTTTTTTGTTCAAACTTCAAAGATCTTCACATACCAAATATTGAGATCAGACTTTTTTCTCGCACAGCCGTTCAAAAAAGGTCTGATTGCGACTGATTGCAGCACCAAAGGTGATGGGCGATGGAGTCGTCACATTCCGACGCCTTATATTATTTATTACATATTTAGTTTAATATTGGATAACTCGATTGTAAAGAAGAAACTTGTTATGATGAAGACCTTTATTAACATTGCTGTACATATAAAGTGTAAATAGATCTAAAGAACAAATTTAATAGACATTCCTGCACTGTCTGTAATAACCACAAACTTGTCTAGGTCCGAGGCCGGGAGCGCTGAAAGGGTTTCCGTATCCGCCGCCAATGTTTTGTACGTCTCCTATACCTCCTAATCCGGTGACATCTCCATACCCTCCTATTCCTCCACCTACTCGTACAACTCCAGGTGCGCTGAGACCCAATCCACCGGGAACTCCGAGTTCGTTAATACCTGCACCACCAAATCCGTTAGGACCGCCGACGAATGCTCCAGCACCACCGAGTCCAACTCCAGATAAACCACTATACGAGTCGATTCCTCCAACGCCAGTCACGCCGTTGTATCCCAGTCCACCAAGACCGCCAACGCTTAGTCCATTACTGTATCCCAATCCACCTAGACCTCCAGCTCCGCTGTCGTAGAACCTAGAGTATTGGTTGTTACTTGACTGAGCTGATTCAGACGATTGTTGTTGTCCATATAAACTAGCACCACCACCAATACCAGTAATACCAGGACCGTATGCACCAAGCCCGCCAAGGGTGCTAATGCCACCAAGGCCACCGACACCACCAAGGCCACTAACACCACTTAGGCCACCAAGGCCACCGACACCACCAAGGCCACCGACACCACCAAGACCACCAACACCACCAAAACGTTGGTACGATTGGTAAACTGGATAGCCGCCTACTTGGTAATAGGGTTCGTTGTAATTCAAGGAAGATGAGGAGTGCTTAGCAGCCGAAGCCGCTTCGGAGTTCTCACTTTCCATAAAGAGACTTCTCGGATTGATCGAAGCATCCGTCGCTAATTCCGCTCTAATCACTCCGGCTGCCAAACCAAGAACCACTAATACAGCAGTATATCCCCCCTTGATCTAAAAAAACAAAGATTTTACAAAATACAACATTGTAAAAATGACCTATCGTACCGTGGTCTTCATTTTGGATGCTGTTGCTGTGGTTCTCACTGTAACTGCCGAACTTCCACACATTCATACTCTTTTATACTTCGCCCGTTTTTTGCGGGGGATGACGTCATATCAATAATTAATTAAATTTTTAATAAGTTCTGTAATCTATAATGTCTATGTTACTAATCGATTATTAATTCTGAGGTAAATGATTAACGTTAATTGTAAAGTAATGCACGAAATTGCATTGTTTTGAAAAGTAACGGTTATAAATACTAATTTTGTAATTTTTGGTGGCTTTGAAATTTGTTACGACGCCCTTTTTCGTATGAAGGTACCTAGTAGAGGTAGCCAACAACCAGGCAAGGCCATTGCAAAATTAGTACATTAGTACAAATATAACAAAACTGTAAAAAATTATAAACTGATTAATGTTATAAGCACCTACTTAATTGAACCCAAATGCAATCGTAAAATAACAATTAATTCCATTTGGAACTTTAAAGTATCTGTAATTTGCTCTTTAATAGGTAATATTGCAAACCGTAATCCGTTATTACAAATTAGTGAGCAATGCGCGGGTTTTTCGTGCGAAGCTATTTAAACAGAGTCCCTTTTGCCAAAATTTTGGATCAACAACCCTTCCTATTAGCAAACAGATAAAGAGACGGACGAGCGGAGCGTCATATTGGATTAGCAATTTTTAATGAACATTTAGCATTAGCACTTTTCAGTATCAAATATATTTTGCAGGGCGGAGAAAAGGGTGGATGTAGGAGGAAAGCAACTTTACTGTCGCATGTGAAAATCATAGGGGATCAGGTAATCTGGTATATGGCTACCATTTGCTTTAGAAAGTAAAAGAAAATATCCTAACAAATTATAGGGTTCCCAGCCATCCTCAGAATATTGGTTGGAGCAGGGTTGGAGTGTCCACAATTCCCAGTCTACTGTCGAATGTGCTCGATTCCCTTCAAAAGTGTGGATAAACAGCGGTACACGAGTTACAGGCTGACGCAAGTGATAAGCCATGGCTCTATATCTTTGCCAAAAAGAGAATTGATGGAGTAGAGGTAGAAAGGGAAAATTTCTAACATCAGGAGTGCACTGATTGCATGTCCACTTTATGCCTTTAAAAAGCAAATAATCAATTCAATACTGAACAAATCGAGTGAGATTGCGCTACAAACGTAAGATGTGAAAAATTTCGAAGTTGGCGTAGGTTAGTTTTTAATCATCACTCAGACGAGATCGAGACAATGAGCTGTCACCGCCAACTCAGGTTTTAAAAAGTACGACGACATCGACATGTTTGACGCTGACATTCTATTAATATAGGAGGTACGCGCACAAACAATACCATAATTTCAAATTTTTATGTTTGACGGAGTATGGTAATAAAGCAGAACAACTAAAATTAACATGTATTGGTACTTTTAAATTAAGCACGTCTCGTTGTGGGCGAAAGAGCACGCATACCAAAATGAAATTGTTGTACGCCAATTTCCCTCAATGTCAAATTTTAGCAGAGTAATAATTGTTTTTTCAAATTAATTCCACGGCAAGCTTTGAGTTATGGGTCTTTAAAACTTCTAACATCAGTTAAAATATAAAAACAGTTACACAGCGTTCTCTCAAAAACAATCAACAAAAGATAGGCCATTTGAGACACCTTTTAATTTTTCGTGAAAGTTAGACGTCATTTTTTAATATTTATAGATCAAAATATCAAGGGCGGTGCAATGTTTATTTGCAATTGATGAGTTGACAACGTCTGCACTGAAAACTTTCAAGATATCTACTGAAGACTTGCGTGCTGCAGGTTCAGCTGGCGATATTGATGATATAGATAGAGGAACAGGAAATTACAGAATCTTATGAAGTTCTTGTCAGAATTTTAAATGTTCTACGTGTAACAGGAGTTTTCAGTCCAAAAGGGGAATAAAAAATTCATACCCGTAGAATGCATTCACAAACTGAAATAGCAGCAGCATCACAAGATCAAAAATTTTCAAATAACAATGATGACACCATCAATAAATCAGTACTGGACATTCTTGCTAATGTCTATAATGCAGAATCGAATTATCGCAATATAAACATTGATACTAGAAGTTCTCTTGGCGATCACGATGGGAAAAAGTAATAGAATTACGACGAAAACAGTAATTAATGGAAAAGAAGTCTCTGAACGTCTGTTAGTTTTCATTGCTACAAAACGAAAAGGTGATAAAACGCAGGAAAGATATTCCAATCCTATTAAGTCGCCGTCTTTCTGACTGATGGAAAAATCAAAAATTTCATGAATTTCTTACTGAAGCCATTCGTTGTGATAAGCATTTAGGACCGATCAAACAAGGAACTGAAGAAATGGAAAAACAGAAACACATGCTATTTAATCAACTTGTCCAAAGAGGAAAAATAAAAAAAGTATCAAGACTTTTAGATAAAAGGGATACTGGCAGAGATCTTATATTTAATAATGAACTTGATGTTTCTGATTATACGATTTTTGATGCGCTAGAATATTGTAGCTACTTTCTGTTGATATTTTATATCAAAAAACAGGTATTACACAAGGCGTTCGAGATACCAAAAACCCTTTCGGCTCGGCCAATCAGGTGTAGGTAGATTTCTTTAACCGCATTTAACATATAAAAATGTCCGTCATTTTGTTCCAATATGGCGACTTAACTGAGATATTTATGCGTTACACCAACCCTTAAAGTTTAGTCGAAATCGGTTCATAATTACGAAAGTTAGAGTGTTTCTATAACCTTATAAACCTACAAATCTATAAACCTATAAATGTACTGGTACCATTACAATAGGAAAACCAGAAATTCTCCGATTTTGTTTTTATTTTTATCTGAATTTATTTGAACAGATACAAAAAAATACTTTTCTCATTGCCACTTTTTCAGTTCTACAAGACATCGTCGAGAGATTTTCAATACAACGTTTCGTTTCGGAGAAACCATCATCAACTTTATTTTTTTATATGGCACGTAAGGAAGTACATACTGTATTGAGTAGCATTTTTTATTACGAATACAACGATGTGCGGCACACCAAAAAAGTTGGAAACTGTTGGTTTCAACAGGATGAACGCCCTAATCGTGCGAGAATAACTACACAACACAGATTTCCTGGAAAATTTGTGCGAATATTTCCCTCATATGTCATAAATGCCATATGAGGTGTGCAATTATCGCTCAATTACAGCGACAATTGCACTGTAGAAAGCGAAAGAGCCCTGCGATAATTGCACTGTCCATATCCATGGCAACTGGCAACTCCTTTGGACAATTTCACAATACACCGACAATTTATAAGTAGGTAACGTCAGTTTGACAAGTGATGCTTGTTCGGGAACTATTCCCCTAAATTACACTCGTGCATCAAAATAAACCTGATAATTTTTTATTCAAGCATGTTGTCAGTAAAAAACTGCATTCGGTCATTTTCATATTTTGTTAAAAGAGCTCTTTCGCCAAAATATGAAAATAAACTCATGCACTTTTTAGACAACATGCTTTCAAAAACATTATCGGTAATTTTGATGCACTTGTGCAATTACCTACGATAAGTATTTTCGCACGATTAGGGCGTTCATCCTGTTGAAACCAACAGTTTCCAACTTTTGTTTTTTATCAAAAATAGTCGAAATGGATTCTAATATTTCTAAACTGCTAAATGTATAAATCCTTTTCCTTACCCTTGGTAAATGGAAAAGTAAAATGTTACATCTACTAAATTAATTTACTGACTCTTATAGCATCGTTGATAATCTCAAGTTTGCCTTTGTCGCCAGTACCAAAGTCCGACTTTTCGTTCACCTGCAAATTGCGTTTGAAGCTTTGGCCCCACCACCGGATACATAGGTTTCAGCGTAATGGTTCATCCGTTCTGTTTTAAATATTTTCATAAGTAAATGGCCGAAAAGTCGAAAAGGTCTTGTGCATATAGAATTTATAAAACCCAAATTTTGGCATTACCTATCATGTGGTGTCGGCTATACATATTTTTAAATTCGTGCAATTCAGTGCATAACTAAAATAGGGCACTAATTTTTGGCCGATATGGCCAATTCACGAACTCCTATCTATAAATTTGATCAGCCGTTCTCTTTGGTCGGACATAAAAATCGAGCGATCGGGATGAAGCATAACAGTTTCGCTTAAACAACTAGACGCTAAAAACATAGAAGTTAAAATAAAAGTGTGACCTAACTTTTGGCATTTTTTGTTATGTTTTTGGTACCTCGAGCGCCCTGTGTGATGACTGTTGATAGAAAATATCAACACAAACTAACTAAAATATATTTAGCTCCCTAGTATGAGCTAGGGTACCTGTTGCGTACATCCATCATTTTAAGCAACTTTCAAAGAATACAATTTTTTTCCGTCTTCATGTATGTGCGTATGTTGGCAATTTTCCGAGGTAACGGCTAGACGGATTTGGTTCAAATTTTGTATACTTAAACTTATGTAAATTAGACATACAGAAACGGAAAATAACCCGCAACGGCATCGAACTTTTTTTTCAAAAAGCAATCTAAAATTTTTATTAGGGTATTCGAAAGACTTTATTTTTTTGTGTACAACCTACAAAAATTGTGCCAGACTTTATTACACAAAAAATGAGAAGAAAATGTCAAAGTTAAAAAACAAAAATTGTTATTTTCAAAACTAAATTAATTCTAATTAGGGATTACAATTATTAATTGTACGTTGCATTAAAATTAAAAAAATAAATAAAAGCAATAGATAAACATGGGCACAAATTAAAAAAAAAGCGGCCACCCATCCAAATAGCGGGCCGGACATTGTTTAACTTCGGTGATCGGACGAGAACCGGTGTTTTCAACGTGGTATTGCCGTTGTCGAGAAAATGATTGTTCTAAGGGAAGCGATTGCAGAATCTGTTCTTAAAAAAAGAACGCACGAAAAGGAGGAAAATTCATTCAAAACAAATCAATTTTCAATTATGTACCGCTAAAAAATTTGAACAATTTAGCGTTTAGTAATAAAACGGAACATAAAACAAATTAATATGACTTCTGGCAGTGTATATTGGCTATAAATGATGTAAGACTGTCAAACACGTTTTATTAAAAATTTACTTTGAACCAGCAAGCTGCTCTGTCAAGAATTGGGCAACTGCCCTAACGGCAGTGCCCTATTGTCCTAGACCGGAAAACTTCATGGTGTGGAGGTCTAGGAGGAAGCAGCTCAGATCAATGGACAGATTTTCTTTTGCGACATGGAAAATCAAGTGAGAATCTCCGTTGTTCAATAGCTGATCTAGCCATGAAATTGAGTGGAAAAGATGTTCTTTGGATTGAGCTTCGTGCCCTAATGGCACATCGACTGATTTCAATTGATAAATGCCCTTGTTTAGTACACATTTTAACCATTTTTAACAAATTTAAAAAAAAAACCTTAAATTTGTTAATCCGGGAATCTGGAGAAAGAGAATCTGAAGGAGAATAACTTGTGCGTTACTGGATGAAAGCAATCGAACGATCGTCCGCGAAGGTAGATTGGTTTATAGACACTGATTTCCAAGAGTGAGTTGGATATAGCGTTAAGTCTAGAAAATAAAGGGGTTTATTGACAGATTCGATTTCTCATTGTAAATTTAAGACTAGAGAGTGTTCTGAATATTAAAACAATAATTTAGGGCGAATCTGGTGCCTCGAATGATGGCAAATATATCATCAACATAACAGGGACGTAGCTAGATGTATAATCAGGACAGGCGGTCTATTCAGGAACTAAGGAAATAAAGGATACCTACACGAATTTTGTTTCTTTTTCTTACTACCTGAAACATGTATGGTGTTAAATTAGAAAATAATGCAGAAAAATGTGAAAAACTTTGCCGTACGTTTGTCTGGCTAATGTATTGCACTTGAAATTTAGATTAACAGAACGTAAAAAATAAACAAAGAAATGATTAGGTGTTTAATAAATCTTAATTTTGTGAAATCTGGACCATTTGGCAGATGGCGGACGCACTCGAAATATTCTGTATAAAAAAATTGTTTTTATCCTTAAAACGTGAAATAATTTCAAATGGAAATTTAATTTTCATGTCTATATCTCAAACGTTTGAGCGCCAGAGCTTCCGTTCCACCTTTAATAGCGACCCTGTATAAAATTTGTCTGTAGGTACGTATGTTCTGACTGAACTCCTGAACGGCTGGATAGATTTTCATGAAATTTGTTTATGTGTCTTTGTATGTCCCCGGATGGTTTAAATTCACAATTAGACCCGATCGGTTTTTTTCCGTTGATGTCGCACTGTGCTATTTCGCGTACCGTGCCGATGTATTTACATTTTTACATTCTGTACGCTGATAAAAATAGATGTCATCAAAATTATAGCACCAAAAACAGATCAAAAATTAAGAATCGCAACAAAAAGGATTGTAAAATTGTAAGATAAATTATCGAAAATTTTATTAAAAGATTAGGTATTCAGGATATCTGGCAATTTGCAATTTTCTACACTTTCGTTCCGTAGCTGTTCGCTATCAATTATTTCATCTGCAATGGGGTCATCCCGCCTTCATTTTTTATTTCTCATCCACAAAGTACATTAAAAATAAAAAGACCCGTGTGTCCTCAATTCTTATTTGCGAGTAAAATAAACCCAAAATAAATTATTGAAAAGCTGTGTTTTTATTCCGAATTTGAAACGCTTCAGACTAAATACGTCACAAACCTACAACCAATCACGTAGAAGTGAGCTGGCAACCTTACGCGAGGGTCTGACGTTTGTCACATTTGACGTTTTGAGAGGGATGTTTAACTGCATCTAGCACGAAAGTGACAAGTGCGTGTGACAGATGACGCAAGTATAAATGCCATTCTCCTGCAATATTGCCAAGTCGTTATGTCATTTGAATGGTTCTAGGAGCTGATTGGACGGGCTTATTACGTCACAGAGCCCGCCACAGTCATATCGTTTTGAATAAACCTTTAAAACCGCACATGTTCATTATTTTTTTGCTAATCAGCCTCTATTTTTAAATAAACTTTTACTGTCCAAAAAAATGTTTTATGGTTTCAGGTACACGCTTATTAAATTAGAACTGCGGAATTCAACTATATACTGTAAACCCCCATTACTTTAATACTGTCTGTCTGTATCATTTGTAGCACGACGCGTTTATACATTGCATACAGATTTTAACAAGCGTCGATGAAACGGTGTTGAATTTAATATCAGTGGGTAAATCAGAGATTAAAATAAATACTACTACATGTATAAAAATTTATAAAAAATGTGCCATAACTAAAAACGATAAGTGTCACCTTCAGACTCGTCTTTCATTTTTTCATTATGGTCGACATAAGAAATGTCATTATTGTTACTCTCAACAGCTATAATTGAACCATTTGCCGCCATATGTTGTCCAACTAAGCAAACAGGTGAAATTTTGTTCTCAGATAAACTCATATTAGGTAAGGCCCGTTTGTATAATCTTCTCGCTATAAATCCTAGTAAGACCATCTCAAGCATTATTAAGCAGTTGTAAATTACTGAAAGAATAAGTATAACGCCGGTATTGTCACGTGCAAACCTACAGTTCGAGTATACTGTTGGAGTGAGAGGAGGATGGCACGGTAGCAGCCGCAGCTTTACGACCCCTTTCATGGTGATACCTTGCAATTTGCTCAAAATTAGCACCAACTGTAGCACGATAAACTTCGAAAACATCCAATAATCCTTCAGGAGCTCCTTTAGCAATTGAATCGTCATAGTCATGCCCCATACTCCGAAAAATATCGAGGTAACTATCACTGGTTGCATGTAGATGTAGTTCACTTGGTATAACCTCTGGAAAATAAGTTTAAGGTCAATACCACAACTCGCTTTCATTTGTCGCATTTGTATTCAAGAAATGAATGCGGTTGCAAAAATGTTTACCGATTACGTACGTACCTCCCTTTCGGCCCATAATACTAATAAGGTCATGTAAACGAGTCCTTGTACGACAGGAAGTTGAAGAACGAGCAGCCTCAAATTACGGACTCGATTTCTAAAATTGATAAACTTTATTCATTTTTCATAAACCCTCATTGCGTAACTGATGTGTATTGGATTTGAATACAAAATGAAATTGTATAACGTGTGTGCAACGAAACGTGTTGCTGCGAATTATATTGCCACATTGAGTAAATTCCGGTTCCTTTCTGAGAGCACGTTAGGACCCTATGCAGTGGCATGGACGTATGAGCAAGAATGAATGAGGAAGAGGAAGAGGAATAATTACAAAAGCGTTTTAAATATTGGAATACTTACGTAGGTAAAACCTTCTTTGGAAAACAGAGTTTGTAATTTTCAAATTTCAAAATATTCCTTGAGTGACCAATTTGGTTAAGAAACTGTTTCTAAGATTTTAACTTTCACACTTTCTACTAATTTACCAATTGCCGAATAATACAAAATTTCTTCATTGTAATTAAAAGATCGCGAAAGTATAATTACAGAAAAGTAGAGATTAATTGAGCAATGCTCATGACTCATTCATTCCGATATCGATGTACTTACTTGTTGATATCAAAAGATGGTAGGCAGCAGCAGCAGGGCCAGCAGCAGCACGGTGCCACTTTTGTATTTAGACCCGATGGTTTTACGTTACGGATGAGTTCCGCCTCTCCTCCGCAATACGCTACGAAAAGGCAAAATAGCTGGTACATTCCGATCATGAAAATGCCCTGCGTTACAGCTTCGGCTAACAATTGAGATCTTGGAACGATTGTTGCACATAGTGTCGCTATTGCTACTACCTGGAAACATACAGTATTAGAATGTTGCTGTTTCTACACATAGTATTCATGTACCAAAAATGTCACCCTACTAACGTACATAAATACGACAAGTATTTTAAGAAACATTGAGATTCCGGAAAGTTTTCTTGGAAAAGTTATAATCAATGTTGGTCCATTTAACTAAACCATGTCATATACAGAAACTAAAGTGCTTTCATAAAAACGAGAATAACGTTTCTTGAACGGAGGTCCGATATATTTTCATGCCTGAAATTTAAAATTTCATATTGGCAATACAGATTTTAATTACTTATGAAGCTGAGAGCCTGATAGCCCAAAGTTTCAATTAAAGCTTGACACTTGGGGTCTTAAACCCTCAATTTTGACGAAAAGTTGAAAAAAAAATGGTGCTTGAACCTTGAAAAAGCTTTTCAGCTCTTCCTTTTGTGTCTGAGAATATGTGTACCTACCTACCAAATTTGGTTTAAATCGGTTCAGTTGTTTAGCCGGAAATTTAAATTTAGACTACAGTATGAAAATCAACAAGGAAAAAACAAAAGTAATGAAAAGCGCGAAAAGAGAGGATAGGAAAAAGGTAAAGATCGGAATATGGAATGACACTTTACAGAATGTAAATGAATTTTGTTATTTAGGTGCAGAAAATAATCGTAGTATGGAAGGTATAAAATCTAGCACATGCTGTAAAAGCATTTGAGTAAAAGCGGGACCGGGATCAATATAGGAATTAGAAAATGCTGCTAAAAACTCACATATGGCTCTATACGGATGAGAAACCCGGATGATAGGCATGGTAGACAAAAGCCGGATATAAGCATTCGAAATGTAATGCTATAGAAGGATAATGAGGATAGTTGGATGAATAGGGAAACAAAACGAAGCAGTCTTCAAATGGAAAGTTGTAACGAAGTTACTTATTTTCCGCCTTAAAGTTCATACTCGAAGTTATGACCACATCGTATATTTGCGATGTCGACCCGCTGTGCTGAACACCCGGTATCTAGAAGCGTTTTAAGTCGTACCGAAAGTATTTGGTAGACGTTAAAGGTATAATTGATTTAATTTCTAGGGTTGTGTTTCAGCCGCTACCGTAAATAACGCTGCAAGCTGCAATTAATCCCCCCGGCCCACCGTTTGCAACAGTTCTTGTTCAGAGATTTAAGTGATTTTAGTTGCGTCCGAAAGCTTTTGTCATTTTGAAGAAGAGGCCAAATAATATTTTAGAATTTCAGCCATGATACGCCATTATTAGCAGGTTTTGTTTCCTATCTTAAATTAATACGAGCATTGGAATTCATGCAGGTTTAGTCGTTGTCAGCGCCGACCCCCGGTTTCCGAGACCTTCTGGTGGTGCCCGAAGTACTCTCGTTTCGTCGTTTTCTGACCCCGTTCCGCCGTCTCTCGTCGCGGTCACTGTCTACATATTTTGTCTTATAAATTATCATTGGATGTTTTTTTCTTACTGTCACTGAATTTCATTTTGTAAATTTAATGTGTGCTTTGTTTTGTGAAGGAGAACCGAAGCCACCCTTGCTGCACCAGCTTATGATGAAAGTTCGTCGTTCATTTTGGTTCAATTCTAAAACTGCTGGATGACGTCAAAAATTAGAGCAGATTTAATCAATCGAATAAGAGAAGGGATTCAGAAATATTTGATTGTAGTGTCAGAATTTAAAGCACAAAAGTGAAAAGGGTACTATAATGACCAAACTGCTCAAAAAGTGAGTCAGAGACTACACCATCTATTTATAGACCATGATTGCCCATGTCTACGATTTGTACATAAAGTTCTACTCAGTTGCTATGGTACAATCACCTTAAACATTAGGCAGTAGAATGCAGAAAAATTGACCCAATCTACTAATATTTGGTACGATTTAAAAGAACGTTAAAGATATACTATTAAAATGGTTAAATGTCTTTATATGAGAGGTGGTAAATAGTCGAACCTCTATATTTATAAATTTGGGATTAAACTCACTTTACATTATACCGCGTCATTTGATAATGAAGATACTCAAGTAGGTACGTCAATAAAAAGATAACGTTCATAAATCTATGATTAAAATTAACTAGGTATAATACGCCATCCCAGATCAATTTTCGTTCGCATGGTTTTACTACAATGATGAAGTACTTACGGGATAAACGCCGATTACAGATGCTGAGTATGTTTTCACCCTTGGTGGCGAATTTTTTATGATATAGAGGAGAGTGTCGATAAACATGTAGAGGATTAGTATCACAGCTAGAACTCCCACCGCAATTAGAGGTATCCCATAGACATTGATAGCTGAAAAAAAGGTTGTGTTTATACATAATGTTAGACAATTATTGTATAAGTTTCCAACAGTGTTTTTTAAGTACCAGTTTGCTAAGCCTTTAGATGCTTAGAAGATGATAATTGATCTACAATTTTAAAAATAGACCCACTCTATAACATTTACGCGCACTTAACTTGGTGTCTCAGAACGTAAATTCTTAATTTTTGAATATTGCAAAGATGTTAGTGTTCAGAGATTCTTCAACATGTCTAAAGATCCCTTTTTAAACTCTTAAACTCTGAAGCTGGCTTTTAAAATGTTGCGCAGTTGATGGATCGTGAGGAAGTTGATATGGAAATTTTATCGTACAATTTATGTATAAACTCCCGAAAATGTAATTATTCTCAGGATTTTTGTAAATTTTGGGACGAGGAATCTTTTCCAGTCACATCTTTGCATTGCTATCGATTCTTTTTGTTGTCTCTTTGCCTGTAGTATTATGATCTTGATGGCAAATCAATCTCTTTTTTGCATGGTAAAGGACCGATCTTGTTTTTTTTTAATTTGCAATATCTATTTTATCACCGGATCGATAGCTAGGTAATTACACAATTGCTTCTCCGACTGATTTACACAAAAGATGCGTATCTACCGCCCTTTATACCCAATCTGGTATGGCTTTTTTAGGGTTAGTCCTACTTTAACAAGAGTAACCACCATAGAAGTTTTGTTAGTAATCTATGCACTTGGAGATTAAAGGTTCCAGTTAAATTTAATACACCTATGACCCTCAGAAACATTTGTGAATATCCGATATTTCACCGAAATGTACCTATACCTACAGATAAAAAGTTTTTAAAAATAAATCAAGATTGTGCCATTGTGTACAATCATTTCAAAGCTGATTCTTTATCAGTATCCCAGAGATTAAAATAAAAATTTCTAGAGTGGGCATTAAAAGTTTTATCAAATCAAACTTGCCCCGCAGTAAAATCCTCCGCGGAAAATTTACCCCCTGCATATTCGCTCCAGAAAATGAATATGCGCCCCGGAAGATTCGCCCCGAATTTACAATTATCGGAATTCGTAATTGAGCCTGGAGGGTGCATATAAGAAACAGAAAATGCATTATTTTTACAAACTTATACATTTACTCGTAAAAGCTTGCTTTTGGTATTTTTTTCTCATTATATATTTAATAGTGACCTACTACTCCGGGCCGAATCTCCCTGAGGACAAATATTCCGGAAGCAAATATACCGCACATATTGTTAATAACAATGAGAAAAAATATTTCTCTTATGCTCATATTTTAAGGTTGGAGGGTTTTTTAAATTATTGAGGGTCAGTATTATAGCTCTCTCTCTTTCTCTCGTGCACCAAGAATAAACTTTCTGAAGTCTTACATTTCTAAAGAACGTAGAAGGTTCTAAATGCCATATAGTCTCATACACGGTATAGACGCAGATATCAAAGACAATTTATTTCCATATAATTAGAAGAATAGAAGGAAACGAGAGTTTTTTTAATTTTGCGTGGGGGATATCAATAGAAACTTTTTAACAAATTTTTTGAGGAGCTATCACATCCTCAAGTCCTGCGCATATATTATAAAACATCCTGTATACGTTTTTGAAAAGCATTAAATGCAAGTTACATACATAAGCTATATATTTAATCACCAAGTCGACAGTAGAAGAGAAGGCGACTTTCTCTGATAGTTGCGTTACGTGGAGATGCGTTAAATGTGTTGCGTACGATTTCATAACACCAGCAAAAAGTGAACAAATTGTATCACGGTTTCAAGTTAATTAAAGAACTAAAGAGAATTAAAGAACCGAACGCAAAAATCAGGCGAAACTTTGCAGGAACTCGAAGAAGAATCTTCAAGGCGTGTCAAACCCCAACTTAATTCAAAGAAGTAGTGCGACCTTTTCAAAAAAAAATCAAATACCTTGACCATATAGTTTCAAGCAATGGAGTACCAGTGCGTTCCGACAAAATTCATGCAGAATATGCTTTCGCTCACTGTGTAGCCAAGGATGTCAAGATGTCCCGAGATATTTCTGTAGAATTCAAGTTCCGGTTTGAGCGCTTAAGAGAAATTTACCTTCAACGTCCCGAGGTGGGTAAAGTGTGTTTCCTGGAGGAGTAATGACGATTTCTTTATTATCTGGTAACAAAAGACCGATTTTACGATAAACCTGGTTACGAAGAGTTTTGGAATACGCTACAAACGAAAAATCCATGCCGTTACAAAGCTGGGAAGATTGGATGTGGATAAGTTGGACTGGCGCATCGTGCGCAATAGACTGGAGGTGGTATTCCAGGGCACCGGGATGGAAATATTGATCTTTTAACCCCAGAGGAGCTCCTCTACCTATTCGTAAGACGGTGGACTGTATTTTTTTCAAAAATGGAATATGCACGAGGGAGTCATCGTAAAAGTACCGCCATCAAGTGTGCGTTACAGAGACAAAGTTGCCTGGGTCTGTGTCTCCGCTACCATCGTGGTCCGTTTTAAAAAGGGGCAGTGTAGCGAACATTCCGGAAATCATGATAGACATCGAGGCGCCATGAAATATTAGTCATCGGGCATAAGTGCGAAGGCATTTTCGGGAAAAATGATGTGTGCATGTCCGAATCGTGTGCCGGCGTTTAAAAAAGTACACGATAAAGAGATTCCTAAACTGTCGTATACATGGCATACACGTTAATATAGTAGGAGAATTGGTAGACATTTTTGGGTAGGTATTTCAGGCAGGCTGAAATTTTGTCCAATACTTCTTCTCCAATAATACCCAAACACAGAATTGCAGACCTGGCTGAAGAGTAGCGGGGATAAATCAACCGTTATATTTTTAAAGATAGAAATTTTTTTCCAAAAAATGTTCTTGAGGTATTTCCAAATTTTACACCTTTACATTTAACATTTAAAGTGCGAAAAATCAATAAGCCAGATCATTTAGTGGGGCCCTACACTTTCCCAGGCGCCTTCAAAGTTTGAAAAAATGTATACTGGCCACCATGAATACATGAACACCCAACTTTGATCAATTTTGATGACATTTTCGGGACAATTGTCTTTATTAACGAGCTCCTAGCGAATGCATAATTTTGCGATGTCTGTCTGTCCGTCCGTTAGCATGATATCTTGAAAACGAATGAACCGATTACGGCTATGTGTCTCAAATAGTAGAGCATTGGGCTACATAGCCGGAAGATCGGGTGTTTCAACCTAGGCTGAGGTAAGAATTTTTCAACTGTGGCAGAGATGGGAATTTCCTTAGATCAGTTTCGAGCATTCGTAAGGTAGGTAAATACTGGCGTAGTAGACCACTAAATGATCTATGGCTTATTGATTTCGTCGCTCTTTTAATAATAAATTTAAAGGGGTACAAATTTGGAAATGCCTCAAGAACATTTTTTGCAAAAAAGCCTATGTTTAAAAATATAAGGGTTGATTTAGCCCCACTACTCCTCAGCCGGATCTGCAATTCTGTATCTGGGTATTATTGGAGAAGTATTGGACAAGTTTTTATCGTGTCTCAAATACCTACCCAAAAATGTCTACCAGCTCTCGGACTAATCTAATACCTACAAATATACTGACGCTTGAAGTTGAACATAACAACAGTTTATTCCTACGGTAGCTTTTATCGTTACTGTATTTTATTTATAGTCTACCAAAGGATAAAAAAAACGGTACCTACCAAATCATCAATTATTGACGTATTGACAATAGCGAAACAAATAAAAGGGGAAATTCGGGTTTGAGATGTATTTCACAAATTCACAATTTAAAGTCGAGCTTGAAGTGGACTTATGGAGAAATGTGGTCTATACCTCAAATACGTCACAAAAAAGAAGTCATGGAGGTTGTCTACTGTAAAACGTAATTTTGAAATAATTAACGCATTCAGGAGTGCATTCAGGGAGTGAGACTAATCCCCAGAAAATTAAAGACTTACCAAGTATTACAGAAGCATATCTTTGAAAACTGTAAATTAACGCAAAGTTGAAAGGCAAAACACAATTTCATACCCTTAAAGATATTTTAATGCAAGTAAGTTTAGTAAGCAATTACTCAGATCAGTGGATAATAACATCAACTACATACTACATTACATAATGCTTTAAAAGTTGTGGTTAGGTTCAACAACTAAGGTTATTTAGAATTTCGAAAAATATGTCTCTCGGTCAGTACATTGCAAGTACTGTCAAATTAGTAACTCAACGATCGTGTATCTCAAATTGTTTGATGTACAAATATAAGAAGATGACACGTTCAATAAATAATTATTTTCACACGGTGATTCTTCTCCAACAAAAAGCTCCCGTTATGGAGTTAAACCAAAATATAAAAAGCATAATGATAAACACAAAAAACCAGCGTACTTTTCACGTTCACTTCCAAAAAAATATGAATTCAATACTCATTATTTTGGATGTATAAAAGGGCCAAAAAGTCAAGCAATAAAGAAGAATAATTACGCAAATCATAACGGGATTTTAAGCGGAATGAGAGAAAGTAGTACCTATCCGTAAGTGAAAGTCACGACGTCGTAAGAAAACGAAAATGCAAGTAAAAAATGTAGGAATGGTCATGTCAGTTATGTAAATATCGAATTATTGAATAATCTCTCACCAGATATATATTCTTTCGTAGATGGTACCACTTCCGGGCACGAATTGTTATTATAATTCGTTAGTTTTGCCAATTTTGAAATTCCGTAACGTTTTACTTGCTCCGAAAAGACATCGTCCGCATTGTCCTCATTCATTGTCATTTATCAATCGACGACTTGCACAAATGAATTTTAATGTTATTACCACACCGCATGTAGACTTAATTGAGGAGAAATTAAGAGTGCGACTGATACTAAATACACTTCGCGACTGATAAGTTTCCCACTTAGTAGTTGGTACTTCAATTATTATATTGATACAGAACTTTCCATTATCGTATTTACACCGTACTTGCTTCGTAATCTCTTTGAATACAGATATTGTCATTATGAAGCAATCCAGGCACTCTGAAGACATGCGTGTTTTTCTCTCCACCCCAATTGCCCAATTGAAAAAGTCGCCCGTAATTTGGAAGAATTTTATTTCAAGGGCAGGACCACAAGTAGGAAGAGAAACATTGTGCAATTGCAGATATTTTGAATACCTTGCAATGTTTATTATAACAATTGTTCTCGGAAACTTATCATAATTATGAAACAAAACGACTATAAGTGTCCTAATTGTTGTGAAAATTTTAAGGTCATTTTTCTATTGCATTAAACACTAATGGTCGTTTGCACCAACAAATTTAAGCTGAGCTTTGCTTAAGTGTACTTTAAAACCCATGGTAACGATTATTAATACAACAGTTGCCATGGATATTAACTATTAAGGCCCGTTTGTACAACTTCAGTTTAGTTTAACTTTACAGATTTCAGAAACATAATTGGCCAACTTGTCAAATATTAGCCAATCAAATTCTTTAACTTACAATTTAACTATAAACTGAAGTTTAAACTAACATTATGCAAGATGGGCTAAGCTACACTTAATTAAGCTAAAGATTACATAGTATGTGATCTTTGCTTAAGCTAAGTTTGGCGGTGCAAACAGCAATACCTACTGGCAATAATTGACCGTATTTTAAAGCATGAAGGGTGCAACCCGCCAAATACTTGCTTCAGAATATTTTAAATGGGCCATGCTGGATATCCTTCAGCTTCAACTTTTACCTTTGCAGTCCATCAGCACGACGCCGCTCCGAGAGTAATGCCACGAACTGCATCCTGTATTTTATAAGTAAGATCTCCGAAGACCACCAAGTAGACTAAGTCCAGTAGACAATTTGGTAAACCGGAACAATTCAGAACGCTATTTAACTTTTTGTAAACCTCCCCTCCCAGATAATTCCCAGCCGCACCTAAAAATAATTTGCACCGAAATGATTACCGCCCGGATAATACGTACTTTTCACTTGAGATATTTGGTTCCCTGATGGCGACATCGCTGCCGGACAATTCGCACCCAAAAAATTGGGTAAATTTTTGCGCTATCTTTAAAGAAAAGTTTAAGAGCATGCTTCGAGAGTGAAGAGTGCCCCAAAAGTATGGAATCTACATCTTTCGCAACGGGACAGTGTAACTTGTAAGTTGCAATCCTGGTTGTAACCTACAAATTTCACTCCCTGCAGAACTAGGCACTCGCATTATTAGCATAAAGTATGGAATAATGTATGCATCTTATCGAAAATATTTTCACATAAAAGTTATTTGCGATTCCATTTGTGAACAAATCGCAGTTCTTGACTGTGATAATTCCGATTAGCTTCGCCAAATATGATTACTGTCTCGATTTGCAACGGACGCGCCATTTCAATTGAATTATTTTTTCCCGAGATTTTAGACAAACACGTTTTAGTTAATTTTCTTTTAGTTAATCAAATTATAAAAGTTGCCGCCATTTGAAAATGAATGAACCAAATGTTTTCAAACTCGAAGGTTGAAAAACCTTCAATATAGTAATATGGCACGCCATACTATTCAATAAAAAAAAACAAACAAGTTGTAAATCAGTATATGCATGACGAAAGCGCATTTTGGTATTGCAGATCATTATTTCATAAATTTTCATTAGCAAAGTTGAAAATTATCGATCTCACGAGTAATCTAACCCAAAATAGAGTAGAGTCTACACATCTACACTATAACAGAAAGCTTTTAATGAAAATTTAAAGTCTCTATAGTTATTGTAATTGTTGAGATCTCAGCCGGACAGCCGGTCAGCCAGCCACAACAAATATAATAGCGAAAATAGCCGAAATTATGCCGAGGTGTCATTTTGTAATGTGAAGTGGTCAGTTTCAACTCAAATAATAAATAATTGTCTCGTGTGGCACCTTTTCAAACTTCGTGGCAATTATTGAACGATTCAAAAGCTATGGGGCAAGGGGGGCGTGCAATGTTTTTGGCATAAGAATTGCCTGTCCCTTCATCTAGTCGTATTCAGATCTCTATTTAAAAGCTATCCACGTACTGTTCCCCTATCTTAGTCAGAACGTTTAGGTACAAGGACTCACTTCATGAAAGTTGAACAGCAAATTTTTATAAGTAATATAATAATAGTTAATATTAATTAATAGCTATTGGTTAATAACAAATTTTAAGTGAAGTGTGCTTAACAAAAGTCGAAGTACAAGTATTTACATATGGTTGTGATGGTGATAAGTAGAGCTGTGAAATTCACAGCACGAACTAATATGCGCATAGGTATATGTATATGCAGAAAATTACTGCAAAATATGCAAACAGTGTTGATGTATATGCAAACATATGCAAAAACACTTGCGTACCAAGAAAACGCTAGTCATAAGATGTTTTTTGCAAGAAATAATTGTCTCCTGTCGCTATGAATTAATTTATAAATCCTGAGCAGAAAATCTGATCTCTAGATCAACAGAAGTAGGTGCATTAGAAAGGGTCGACAAAATATTGGGAGGAATTTCCAAACTTTCCACAATATCACCCATCAACACCGTAGCGAACGAGAAAATAGTTTGGAAATGAAGAAATTAAACATCAAATAAATCAATAAATCTTCCTTCCGACTATTGCAGATGTCTTTAATGATCATGTCCGTTATGAAAATCCGCACAAATGTAATAAAAATTCAAATTAAAACCGATTAAAACTATAGCAAAAATTTAAATACCTCTTAAAAAATGCAAGTTTATAATGTAAATGGAAAGATATAAAGATATGCAAAAATAAATTGTGTTTAATCGCTTCAAAATGTTGCAAATCGAAAATGCACAAAATCTCATACGAGTACAACCAAAAATAAACGATATTCACAGCTTTAGTGAGAACTTCAATTGCGAATATGTTGAGCTCAGAGAAAAATTGCTTCTTCTACAGAACTGATATGTGAACCAATATATATTTACATGTATCCATATTTCAGTGGCTGTGTATAAAGACACACGGTCCTATCTCAAAACATAATAAAGAGCATAATTGATTAAAAGGTTTTTTCCTTTCGGCCTTGGGTGGTGTTGAAGTGAAGGTTTGTAGGGAGAGTAGGCTCAAAAGTCAGACTTCGTTAACGTTTTAAAGCACCTGTAAAACACCTACTATTGTTATCTTAATAGTTATGATTTTGCAATGCTTCTAACTTTAATCTGGCGAAATCGGTTTATAGTATATTTAACCACCCATCTATCTCTAATAGTCTCGCTAATAGTATAAAAGTTGCAAATAATTTTTGAAATTTGTATGAATTTTATTGTGGATCACAATTTGAGTAATATAAGAATACATGATTGTTTATAATAATGTTCCTAAAAGTTGTATACCAGCTTCAAGAGTTATTAGGAAGATAAGTAACTTTTTAAAATTGAAATCTGTGTAAATAATTGTTTTTTTATGTTCATCGTGTAACAAATAATTTATGTAACTAAGTAAGAGTTGAGACAAATAGAAAATTTCATTTTAATAAATAAATTTGTACATTTTTAGTATGCCACCAACGAGGTTAAGTGTAAGAGCAGCTAAGAAGAATTACTTCGAAGCTGAACTTCGCCTCAAATTTTCTATTAATTTAATGTATTTTTTTTGAGTGAGACAATAAAGTTAAAGTTAAAGTTAAATTCCCTTGCTATTTTTGTTTCCAATTTAATTTTCGAATTAACATTCGGTCACCTTAAACTAGTGATGTGGATTGTAAAACAACGATTTGTGAGTTACATAAAAAACGGTTATATTAGGCGTAACTTACAAGAGGTCGGTTTTTTTTATGTAATTTATGTCTTTTATGAAACTTACGTAACTTACGTTTTTAATTTAAAAAACCGCAATTTTTGTAAGTTACATAAATGTAATACCTATTTGATACATTTTGATCGGTACTACCACAGACCATCAACGGTACTACCAACGTAAACGATTCACCGTTGAATTTAGTTTGGTTTAATGAAGATGATACAGCCTCTAATTCGCGATCTGGAGCTTCTTCCTCCAAACGACGCGTGATGGCGAAATACCTACTGCTTGGGTATTTTATTTAATACACCAAAATATATAATTTAACAAGTGTTTTTATTTTCAAACACTCACAAAATTCAAAAAGGTGGTAATTTTACTATAAAATTACGGTTTTTTTAAAAAAAAAATGGTAAGTTACATAAATTACATAAAATACATAAAAAACATAAACAATTGGTAATTTTACACGTAATATTGCGCACTTAAGAAAACGTGTAAATTTAACATCACTACGACGATGCGCTTTTTTTAGTCCAGGAGATGGTAACACAAAAAAAACCGACGCATCGATATTAGTAGTACTACAGTGCGAATTATATTAAAGATACGTTTGGTGGAATATAGGGTGGATTGTGTAAAAATTGGGGTTTTAATGGCCGATATCCTTATTGTAAAAAAAATTGGTTGTTTGGGTATAGACGCGCAGAAAGTATCGTTGCAAACGTCAAATGGGGTAAAATTGAATTTTTTAGGTCTTAGGGAGAGCGAGCTTTCCCAAGTTGAAGTTTTTTGCAATAGGAAAAGCATGTACAGCTTAAGGAAACTAAACTCCCTCTCACAAATAACATTCAGCGTAATCCACCCTACTTCTGATATTAGACCGAACTATTTTTGGCTTTTCTATTGTCCGTTGATGAGTGCAATCGAAACATGGAGTAGGAAAACTTTATTAGTATCACCTTTAACAGTTAATTAGTAGGGTAATGTAATTCGAGTCAAGCTTAGAGCGAAATAAAGACTTTCTAGAAAGTAATATCTAATCAGGTATCTACAAGTATTTTACCAAATTTAAAATTGTCCTTTTCCAAGAGAAAATTCTGCCATTTACAAAAACGTGGCCGCAGTGGGAACTTCTCTGTACACAGTGTGTGGCACCGGATGCGTTCGGCGAACTACAACGGCCAAAGTAATCAAAGAGACCACGATGATCACAGATGCAATCCCAGTAATTACAATTACTTCAAAGTGCATGACAAGGTTGGCAATGCTCTCTGGGTAAGTACCGGTGGGTGACTTAGAAACTTCGTTATTTTCCGCAGGCTCGACATCATTCTTTGTGGCAACCTTTTGCGACGCAGGCTCGTGGTTAGTGAAATGTAGCTTTTTACTGCAGAAGTTGTTCGCCAGTGGCCCGTTCGGGCCGTAGATGTCCTCGAATAGTTTGTTGGAGTGCAAACATTGGACGTTCCTTTGCAGTCGTGTCAGTCCGAACTTGATCAAGTGCTCGAAAAACTTTATCGTATCACAATGGCACTTCCATGGATTATAAGACACGTCTAGAAATTTTAAGCTGGAATGTCGAAACACGTGGTAGTCTAGATGGTGAAAATTGTTGACGTGCATGTATAGAGCCTGCAATTTTGGGGTCACTTTCAAATTGTCTTCGGTGAACGTTTCCAATTTGCACGATGATAAATCGAGCACCATTACGCTTGCGGATACTATTGTGGGAGTGTTCAAGCCGAATAAATTATTGGACAAGTTGAGCTCAAGAAGCTTAGTATTTTTCTCCACAACTTCCGATGGTATTTCGTCCAACTGATTGTTAGAAAGGTCTAAGTATTCCAAGTCGGTCAAAATCGTAAACGCCAACCGATTCACGTTGAAGATTTTGTTATCACACAGTTCTAGGTACTTCACCTTTTGCAATTTGGGATTAACGAAGCTGTACTCGTTAACTTCTTCGATATTGTTGTTGGAGAGATCAATCGTGTCCGGTTGCAAATCGACTCGCTTGAAATCGGGGATGGTTCTCAACTGCTTTTCACTACATTTTATTGTGGTCTCATTGCAGGTGCACTTGTAGGCGCACTGACTTGAAGTTGCACTTCCTAGTAAAAGAACTAAATGCATAGAAACTGCAAGAAGCATAACACATCCGTGACTGGTTACCATACCTGCAAAAATCAAGATAGATTATTCTATCCAAGAAGGGTTTCTACAAAGGGTTTGAGTAAGCAACAACTCCTACCACGCGCCCACTTATGTTAAGTACCGCAAGGACAATTTTGAAGTGATTACTTTAACCATTCTGTGCCCAATTTTAATTGGTAATTCGTAAAGGATCGAGTTTTTCAACGTCTGCCTGTAGCACTCAGGCATATTTCAAACTAAAGTTCCTAAAACAACCGTTTGCACATTGTGATCTACAAAAACCGCACGATGAATTTCTCATATCCGAACACGTTGCAAATTCGGGGAATGAGGTTTTCCTATCTTTGGGGGTCTAGTATACGCCGAATCAGGCAAACGTTATCCTAAAACAGATTAACACTTACTGAATAATTGTTCAAAAATGTTAGTTATCACGTTGAATTTTCTGTTGCACTACAATTTCAGGTATGTGCGACTAAATCGTTATCATAAGTACATAAAATGTGATTGATTGGATTTTTTTATCAATAAAAGTCGTTTGATAATGGTTACACAAGATTCACTGTTTACAGGTAGATATGCTACGTGTATATACTATTTCAGTGTGTATCTTCTAGCAAAAATACATCCTTCAAAATGAGGAAGTATACGTCCACCTTTGAACCTCCAATTGGTTATGAATTTTGGTTGATATCAGAGCATTAATTGAATAACAAAATTTTTGTTTAACATTTCTTCAAACTTATCTCCTGAAATCAAGGAGTCTACAAAGGTGCTATATCGTTTCACCAATGGAAAAAAAGGGGTATTTAGTATTTTTCATTTTATCCTAACTGCGTTCTTTATTCTACATATCTACTTATTAACATAATAGCAAATGTTTAACGACCAGTTCAACCTAAGATTAAAGGAACGACAACCAATTTAAGGTTTTTAGGTTAATTACTTTGTCGATTGTAGTAGCAGCGAGCTTTCGTAATCTTCTCCCATGTTTATGAAGGGATTATTTGTTCTAAATTGTTTTTGTCGCCTCGCTGTCTGACTTTGGTTTTGAATTACACGCTGGAAGCTGTAGAATGTTAAGTTGCTTCTGTAACTCCGCACAGCTTGGTAAAAATGCCATCAAAAGAACCCACTGAATTTGGTGTCAAGTCTAATTAATATTTCATAAATTTCACTTTGAATGAAACCAAGTTCTAGTGTTATTAGATAAAAATTTGTCACAGTCACCATAAATTGAGGTTTAGCCAAAATGTACCTACTTATTTAAATTACCAGCAATCCAACTTCAAGCAATTAAGTTGGATAGAGGTAAGAAATGAGAAAAATTTATGTAAAAATAAAAATGCATTCCTAAACAGCACTTTACATTTTCTGATTTTCTAATAGATTTTCCTCAATATACATTTAGATGGCCTTTTGGTGTTATTATTGGGTTGGATAGTGAAAAAGAAAAACCCAGCCTAGTCGACGGCATTTGAGTAATCTTTTAATGATACAGTTTTCTTGTTGGGATTTCACGTTCTATAAAAAACCAAAAATAATTCTCCGCCCTATTTGCAGGAAAAAATCGCTGCAAAGGCAGACCTAACAGATCCTTATTCTGGTCTTGATAATCTAAAGAAATAAAATACTTGACAGAGATAGAACATAAACAATAATTGACGTCATAATCGAGGGTGATTTAGCAAATGATCTCAGCATATTACAAAATAGGTCACTAATATCATACTAATATATAGATCTGCAACTTCAATGTATGAATTTAAATTAATTTTTAATAAGAAAGGGGATCAACACGTATGTAATCAAACGTTATGTCAAGGAATCGACAAAAATAAACAAATTACTTTTTAAACTACAAGGCGCAACCTTTTCGAGTTCAAGAAGTTTTCTTTGAGTGGCTAATCATTTGTGTATAAAAAATTATTATTTATGGTATTTGAATTTGACAAATTAATTTATTAAAAGGTGGTTTTGCACTAGACAATTTTCAGGGAATGCGATAGCAATGCATGAAATGTTACAGGCACACAAACTAGCAAAAAATATAGTAAAGAACCATATAAATTTCACAAATCACTGATGTTGGAAAATGAACATTTTTTAAAAGACTGGAGATTAAAAAATGATTATTTTTGAAACATTATAGCCTATAGAGCTGGCTGAAATGAGAAAAATTATTAAGAAATACGTACAGTATGCTAACTACCAAAACTATTAACTAATTAATTTATTAATCTCGATTTCCGAATACCGTCAGATTTCATTGAGTTTGCACAAAAATTGTAAGACAATGGGAGCTTAACATCAATTGCGTAATTGCAAAAATACTTGGAAAACTACAATTATACTTAATTATGATTCATCCTGTACATAAGATCACCCTGTAAGTCACTTTAACGGTCATGTCACTATCAGCTGTGACTGTCATAACCTCAAATTTAGGTATGTCTTATTTATTTACAATTCGATTAGTTTTATAGTATATAGCAAGTAATTTTTCTCATTATCATAATGAGACGAAGGGCTGGGGTCGGGGCGATACAAAAACAAAAACTCGAACAGGAAAAGTACAAAGATAAGGGCAACGAAATACAGGAAAATCAATTCGAGCAAATGACTAAGCAGTTAGAGGTCTTTCGAGTAAATTTAGAGGAATTCGCCACAAAGCATAAAAACGAAATACGTAAAAATGCGCAGTTTCGTAAACAATTTCAGGACATGTGCGCGTCTATCGGCGTCGACCCGCTCGCTTCTGGCAAAGGGTTCTGGTCGGTGTTAGGCATCGGCGATTTCTACTACGAATTGGCCGTGCAAATTGTGGAAGTGTGTTTAGCGACGTCGTACAAAAACGGTGGCCTAATTGGTTTAGGCGAACTACGTACACGTTTGATCAAGGCACGCGGACAGGGCAAACAGCACCAGGAAATTAGTCAGGACGATTTAATTTGTGCCGCGCGAAAGTTGAAGATATTCGGCAGTGGGTTTTCTGTTGTTAGTGTCGGTAAAGGACAGTACATGGTGCAGTCGGTTCCCGGCGAATTGAGCATGGATCATACGGCAATCATCGAACGAGTAGCCAACTCGAATAAAGCGTTCACTTCTGTGTCTATGCTGCGAGAAGAGTTGAATTGGGAGGCAACGAGGGCCCAGAAAGCTTTGGATCACTTGTTGTTGGAGGGATTGGTTTGGATTGATCTACAGGATGTTACAGAGAAATTGTATTACTTTCCTAGTTTATTTACAGCTTGTATTAATGCAACTAATTAAATTGTGCCGACGCTTATATTGATTGCAGTTATGTAATGCTCACTACTTTGTATATATGTATAAATTATTTTATTAAATGCAATTGCCATTATAATTTTATTGTCTTATATCGACTGGTTACATTCACTTTGGAATTTGGATGCTAAAAATTAGCACTGAAATGTAGTAGGGGGGGCCACATATAATTTGCTTAATCAAATTCCATTTAGTGCAGGAATATGCTTGTTATGTAGAAAAAGGCCTACAAATGTAGTACGTTCAAGGAGGGAATCCTAACTTTTTGGAAGGGAGTCAAAATTTTTTTGTAAATTTATCAGTTCCTATAATAGTCCAAGTAGAACTTTACATTGGCCAGAGCATTAATTGAGGTAGTAGCCAATTTTTATGTGGTAGGAAACGCTGCTGGACTGGAACCCACATTTGCAAATATGAAAAACCGAGTGAAAAACGCAGAGAAGTGGCATCATAGTAGGTATTTGAAAAACTAATTTTTTTTCACATTTTGGTTTTTTGATAATCACTCAAAAAATTTTTGAAATAGATCATTCATGACTTTTTTCAAATTCGCGACATTTTGAGCTCGGAAACCAGCTCTATTCGATTTTGGTTTCTGAGATACCTATAATTCTTCAAAAATGTTTATAAAAGGTGAAAATTTTTAAGACGTTTCGAGCTAAATCGTGGCCAATTCAGCGCATGACAAGAGATCATAATCCCAGTACTCCACAGTGGCGTAGCATACCAAATGGCGCCTCTAGGGCAAGCATGCATTAAAATTGCGCCCTTTTGTAAATGACATTGATATAAAACAATTGATACGAAGGTAAGTTATATTTGCCTTCAGAGCCATACTATTTCTTTTTTACCTTTGCTTTGATTTTTACACAAAAAGTGTAATTTCTAATATTTTAAAATTTAAATCAAAGTGCGCGTAGTTTTTATTTGCATACGTTGTTTTTCTAAATACCTATATTGTGATAGTTCATAAAAAAATCAGAACACCGCAAATAATATATTTGATAAATAAACGAGAGAAAATAACGATTGCCGGTAGAAAGTGGGCACACAATTTCATATACCTACTCTTGTTCTACAGCCGACATGTTTTTTTTAATAATTTAGTGTCAAGGAGAAAAGGGGTGCATACTATCAATCACATTACGTTACGATTTTCAAAATAATTACCTTTTTAAATCATTCTAAGCGCGATTGAGAAAAAAACTGTTTTTAAAATAATTGAAAAATACTTAATTTTGTGTAGCTACAGTGTACGAAACTTCAGTAAACACTGCACTTAAATCATATTCGTCCTGAATTTTTGGGTTTCGAATATCAAATACACAAATTATTGTAATCATTTTATTTATAAAACTCATTTCCACACCACCATGAGGTAGAGTCATTGGCGCGTTTTTTTTAACGTGGTATCCCCGGTACGCCTAATCCACTCACATGTTTTGAACCTTCATTCCACTTTTAAAAATTCCAGATCAAATTGATGAATTTTAATTGGGACGTCGCGTATTCATTTCACGAAAAGAAGTACAATAGATATTGTATTTATTGCATAATTAATGAATAGGAATGTGCGAAAAATTAGGAGATAGGATTCGTAATGATATAATAAGGTAGATGGACGAAGTAGATGAAGTCTCAAGGAAGGTTCAGGAGCGAAGAATGCAATGGATTGGACAATTGACATGCAATGAGGAGAGAAGAGAGATGCTAGAAGAAGGGTCAGTAGAATGCAGGTGGAGGGGAGAGGCCGGAGAGGATGATCAAGAACAAGGTGGGAGGATGTGAAAGAGATGAGAGATGAAGAGGATGTGTGGGATAGGAGGAACAGCGAGCTCTCATAGAAGAGAGAAAAGCTGTAAAGAATATAAATAATGAGTTTCTCTTTAGAGACCCAAAAAGTTTGTTAGATAGTAACAGTAATGTTACCTATAAATATGGCTCATTTTTGGGACCCTAAATGCAATCGAAAATTATTTCATGTACCGATAATCCCAGGGATGAATTGATCTCCTAATTCGTTTCGGAATGCTTATCTACTATATCTTTAGCCAGGGGGTGTGTCCTAAACTTTTATAACGAATGTGAACGTGAAATGGCGCTACCAACAAATTTAACCATCAATAAAGACAGAAACTAATGAAAATACTTCTATTACTAATCTGGTATGAAAATAATATATTGCACTTAAAATACTAATAACTCATTACTCAATTGTGTGAATTGGTCGCATTTCGATTTAGTAATCTATTTATAGTTTGTTTAAGTTTGTTTCTCAGATACTTGTTATTATTTTTTAAGTCTGTAACTTGAGCTTCATATTTACGTAGAACTCCGTGAACCTCCTCTTTCCATTTTTTGTTTAAATTTATTTGCATTTCCAAGTACGACTGAAGTTTACTCTGAACCGCTTTGCCATTACGTTCAACTGCGTCTAACTTCGATTTTAGCTTTTTAATGTTATCGGTGGCCAACTGAAGGTTTTCGTTGCACATTTTAAGCTGTTTCTGTAAGAGTCTCCGTTCGTTTTTGAGAGAGAGTTGTTCCGCATCGCGTGTTTTGATGTCGTTTTGGTAACTTTCACCCATTTGTTCCATGTCTAATTTCAGGCTCTCTTTTTCCGCTTCGACTTTGAGCAGTTTTTTCTCGGACAGTAACTGTAAGGGATGTTAGCTCAAATGGGCAGGTGTCTACACTTACCAGTTTTTGAAAGGTCGACTCTAAGTTCTTTTCGAGCACCAGTAGTTTGGACGTGTGACTTTCATCGACAAACAAGTTCCCCTTTTTAGCTTTCTCAACCTCATTCTCCAGTAATTTGCAGTCGTACGTTGACTTTTGCAATTGAAGGTTCTTTTCATTCAGCTCCTCCTTTAAACTACCAACGCTGGTTTGGGTCTCCTTCAATTTAATATCGCACACCTGCTGAACAGCTTCAACTTCGTTTTTTAATCGCGCGTCTGCTTTATCCATTAATTCTGATAAGATCTTGGAAATCCTTGCAGCCTCCTCTGTAAGTAGGTATCGTTAGCGCATCTAGATAAAAAATATGACACTCACCCCTCGCTTGGCTTTCCCGAAATACCGCAGCATCTTTCTCGAAAAGCGCGGTTTCCACAATCTGCACGGCCTCCGTTACCTTTTCCTTAGCTGTGCGCTCTTTGGCCTTCATTTCTTGAATTACGTTATCCTTCATTTCTAGGCTCACTTGTAATTTATCTCGAATTCTAGTACTGTCTCGAATCTTCGACTCGAGCTTTTTTACCTCGTTTTCCAGTCGATTCATCTGCTCAGTGGTAGTCTGTTGGAAACTGATCGCCTTTTCAAGTTCCGCACGCTTCTGATCTATGGTTTGACTTGAGGTTTTGAGAATTGTTTGAATTTTCGTATGGGAATTTGTCAGTTGTTCTTCTAGATGTTGTATCTCTTTTTCGTAACTTTGCTTCATCTAAGTGTGAACGGATGGTGGCTAGTTTGAATCGTCTTATTTGAGAGTACGTACCCGTTGAACTTGAGCTTTTGATATAAAACCATGACTCTTTCCGGCGAACAGGTTCAGTTCTTCTTCCAGATGATCGATGTTTTTTAACGAATTTTGCCATAGTAGTACTACTGTTTCCTTTTCCTTTAAGAGAAACCAAACTGTTATTAAATAATAGTGTACTTTGTGTATGTGCAAATGCCGAAAGGGTGACACACGTGTCTTGCTTAGCATCATTTTAGACCGTTTAGGAAATTACATCCGTTCTTAGCATTCATTACTCGTTACTAAAGGAACTGGATTTAATTGTGCTGATGGTTCATTGGATAGTACGTTTGAACAAACTGTTCGAGAAGTGAAAAAGCAAACATGAAAAAGGAGCAACTCCCGCAACGTGATAACAAATTCAAACGGATAATAGAGGACGTCAAAGACAAAGCAAAAGAATGGAACTAAACGAACATGGGACATCGGCGTCATTTTTGGGATTTTAGATGATTGTAGAAATTTAGGAAGGAGCGACACAATTAACGAAAGCCAGAAGACAAAAAATAGGCATGTAAATCTGGAAGAAGGAATACCAAAAAGTACGCAGAAAGTGCAACATCGGCCATGTGGAATATGTGGATGATGAGGGTAACTGTGAAAATTTAGTTGGCCTGGGCAAAGAAAACATTTCAGAATTGCATCTGAATTCAGGTGCAACACTGAACACTTATTTGTTCAAGTACATATATTTGCCAATTTTCTTAGGTGGCCCCTTTCCAATTGCCCTACCTTTAACCATGGCATAGTGGTTTTGGCACAAAGAAGAACGTTGCTTTCCTTAATTACTAGTACTCCACTGCAACATGAAGTTGAAAATGTTGAAGTAGAAATATATGGAACGTGATACCATATATAATTTTCTAGAGTTTGCTCATGAAATCAATATTATGCAAGAGATAAAGATGCAAGTTAAGAGGAGAATAGGAGTGTGGTAGGTGCGAGTATAATAATGTACATATAACAATGCGGAGAAACCGCTGAAGGATTAAGCGCCGCTCCTGAGCGCTTTTTCCGCTCTTGAGCACTTTTCCCGAGCGCTTTGTTTTTCATGGCTATTGGCGTCAAGATTACGGAGTTATATAGATCAAAATTCAGCCCTTTTCAATGGCTGGACCTAACTTTTGGGTCAGCTTGTTTTGAGAAATAGATGTGTTTGATTAATGAAATTTAGAACCATCTAGGATTGTTAGTAAGAAAACAATTCAACTGTTGTCACCAATAATCATAAGTTCAGACATTTAAAGAAGTTCTCCTTTTATTTAAAAAGTGGTATCAAATAAAGAAAGTTTCCTGTTCAGTAACAAGAACAATAACAACTCCCAACGTTTCGCTATATTGGAAATTTCTCCCCAGAGTCTTCAATTACAAGTAGATTTGAAAACAGTAGCCTTCGATCCAGCCGATTTCTATATAAAACACTATACCCTGAACCGAGTTGTTAATGAATTACTTCATCTTTTCGAAATAATTAGCAAATGCTTTTTCTACACACAGAAAATTGACTTTTGTAACGTCGACAGTCCCAGTTTGTAAACAGGATGGTGGGGAGATTCATGTCACCATTCTCATTGTGAAAATGGAGATCCATGTTTCATTATCCGGTGTAAAATGCTTAAATTTAAAAATAAGGACGGCTATAATTACATTCCTGTGGGTATTGACTACTTTTACGGTTGAAAAATTAATATTAGAATGCCCGCATACCGACATACTTGTAGAAATCCACATTTCGCGAAATGGGAACTTGTTCATAAAGACAACCACATGCCAACGAAGAACAAAATTAGGTATCGAACTATATTATCTTACCGAAGATACTGGGCGCATTATTATTGCATGTACTTATATTTGACCATCTGCCACACTTCCGGAACAAACCCTAATTTCAAACAAACGGGCGCCTACCTGTAGAGTCAACGACAGCTGGTTTTTTAAATTATGAACTAAACAATTCTCCAAATTTTGTTTGTCGGTAACTTCAAACTGAGCTTTAGCATCCACAACCTCTCGTATCGCCACCGAAAGTGCTTTGTTCTCCTTAATTAAGGTAGTAATTTCTGCCCTCAAACGCTCTTGCTCGTGCTAAAACCAGAAAATTGAAAATAAACTTTACTTAGGAGCGCCTAAATTTGTACGGCATAAAACTGGAGTTGGTTCGTCAACGTTTCAATTGCCACTTCGTACTCTTGGATCAACGGTGTGAGGTACCTAAAAATTGAGTAACAATAATGGTATTGCAAGTCTCGAGCTCACCCATAGTCCTTTTCCATACTACAAATTTGTGTACTAAAGCAGAGCTGTCAGTGTCGCGCTTGCGAACTAAAAATCACAATGTCTCCCTTCAATTGTCGCGAATTCCATTGCTCCACAATGATGCCAGTCAGTGTTATTTACCACGTAGACCTCGATGAAGCTAAGCAACTGACGTTATTTGGTTATCTGTAGGTTTTCGCCGAGTTAAATACGATCACAACACATAATTGCGGTAAAATCAATAAATGGACGGCGGGAACTGTGCGAATTTGAATCTAAAATAACAATGGAGTAAGTCTCGTTGATTTTCAATTGGGTGTACAGATTAATTGCATTGTAGCACAAATCTCTATATAGACATTAAGGAAACGCAATGGCCAATAGTGTACCGTCCCGAGTACAATGTGCGTTTTTTTGGTTTGGAGAAGCTGCACCCGTTCGACGCGGGAAAGTGGGGGAACGTCTTTCAGCACCTGAAGAAAGCCGGTCTGATAGACGAAGACACCGTCACTAAACCAAACGAAGCATCAAAAGAAGATCTTTTGGTCGTGCACACCAAGAAATACCTACGTAGCCTTCAGGTATGCTTCTTTGCGATTGCGCCACCTTTTATCGTAGAGGTTTTTCAGTACAGTTTAAATGTTGCTCGAATAGCAGAAGTGCCTCCTCTAGTTCTTGTGCCAAATTGTTTAGTTCAGAGCGGTTATTTGAAACCGATGAGATTCCAGACGGGTGGCACCATTCTTTCTGGAAAACTGGCCGTGGAGCGTGGATGGGCGATTAATATCGGCGGAGGGTTTCACCACTGCAGGTCGGATTTGGGAGGAGGATTTTGCCCGTACGCCGATATAACGTTGTTGGTACAGTTTCTTTTTATTCATTACCCTTTGAGTGTTCAAAATGTGATGATCATCGACTTGGATGCCCATCAGGTAGTCACCGTGGAAGTTTAGCTTTCTTAAAGTGTGCTTTCTAGGGCAATGGTTATGAGCGCGATTTCAAAGATAATAGAAATGTCTACATTATGGACGTTTACAATAGGAACATTTACCCCTTCGACAGGGTTGCGAAGAATGCCATCAACAGGCGTGTGGAATTACAATCTAGGACCAGAGATGAGGAGTATTTGAATAAAGTTGAGAAGTAAGTAGAATTATTCGGTTAGCATATTTTTGATGAAGGTTCCAGGAACATCAACGAGGCGTTAAATGAATTTCTTCCAGATTTTGTGATATATAACGCGGGAACCGATATACTGGAGGGGGACTCCTTGGGATGCTTATGCGTGTCTCCACAGGTACGCAATTTTCTCTTCAACCTAACTTCAGTTCGAAGTTTTCAAAATTAAACCTTAAACCTTAAACTAAAGAAAGAAAAGTCAGCAAAATACCTAGCAATTGGCCAACCAATTCGCATAGAGCCTCAGTTAGTTAATTTGATCACACAAACAGAAATTGCGTGATTATTTGCAAGCGTGATTGGTTAGAGTATTTTTTATGTTTCAGGGAATCATACGACGAGATGAACTGGTATTTACGAAGATAAAATCCAAGCATATTCCTCTAGTAATGTTGACCAGCGGAGGATACTTGAAGAAAACCGCAAGCATTATCGCCACATCGATTTTAAATCTGCACGATTTAGGGTTAATACACGGCCCCGTTCCTCGTTACTAACTTCCACTACATCTGTATAGCTTCCCAACTATTTTTCTAGAGAGCTTCCATATTTTTAATAAATTGTATAAGATGTTCTACATTATGTATTATAAATAGGAATAGTTATCTTGTAGATTTATTAAACTGCTCAAAAAACGCAGCAGTTGGTTTATTGCGATATACAATTTTGTTCATGTACTCCTCATGGTTTTTGTGTTCACTTGCTAATCTTTTGTTTTCCTCAGCTAAGGCGATGCGCCTTTCTCTGAAAGAAAATGAAGCACATTTACAAAGTGAATGGTATATACTTCATTGATCACCTTTCTTTTCTGGCTAATTCTTTGTCCATCACTGCTATTGTTTTCTGAATACCGTTGCTGTATTCGTCCCATTCTCTCTGAAAACGAATTTCATCGGCTCTTCGTTTCTGGAAGAAGTTCAAAATATGTTTAGAAACTTAATCATTGTAACCATAGTATATTTGACCCAAATATCGAGTTTGAAACACAAAGGGTAGCTGGGGCGAACAGCATTTAAAGAAAATGATGCTTCCAAAATTTTAGAGATAGGGAATGCTTACTTGAGCTTCTTCCACTTGGGCCAATTGCTGCTTTCTAACTTCCTCACGTTCTTCCTCTGACATTCCTTTATAAAGAAACCCGATCCTCCGATTCGGTCCCATGTTACTGAACGAAACGTCAGGATTCTCAGTCATCATATCACTCGTCATGTTGTTATACATCTGAGCCATATTATCCTCTTTCTCTTGCCGGTTTTTCTCTTGTTGTACGCAGTAGCGTTCATCTGCCTAAAATAACAATGATAATCCAGATGGAAGCTTTGCTTGCTAAAATACCAAAGCCCTATTGAACATACAGCACGCTCGCTCCAACCTCTTCCTGCATTCTCTCTCCATCATATCCAACTCTATCGCTCTCTGATCTCTTGCAATTACAGCAGCTTTATACGCTTCATCAGCCGTCTTCCGTTCCTTATCAGCACTTTCACGCTCTTCCATTTGCTGCTGAAGCCACGACTGCGTTTGCTCCATTTGTATTTTCTTCCTCTCCTCTGATGACAAATCTTCACCCTCAAACCTAAGTTCTGTAATTGAAAGTTACAAAATAGACTTCACTTACTTTTGAAATGAAGAAATGCCAAGTCTGGGATCAGCATCGTGTACCCTAGCAGGCAAAGCGCGTTTGATCGCCTTCGGATCGTTCAAATCAAACTCTCTTCGGTCTTCGTACTTTTGAAAGTTACTGCGAAAATCGTTAATTTCACGCGCCAACTTTTGACGCTCCTAAAACTTGGCGCTGATTATGAAACAGATTTGTAATTAGTCAGCTAACCTCATACTCCTTACGTCCTAAAGCGAGTGCAATTTGATCACTCTTTATTAACTGTTCATCAAAAATTTGGTCAATCTTCCTCTTCTCAGCTTCCAATTTCTTTTTCTCCTCAATTTGTTGTTCCAGCGCCTTAATGTCGGTCTAAAAGCAAACGACAGTGAAAACTTCTTGTCACCACCGTAACACTTTACCCCAATTATGCGTTGCTTAGGATTGAAAATTCTCTTCTTGCGTTCCTCTTCGATAGCTCTACGTCTTTCGATCGCCGCCGCCTCTCTTCGATCTTTCTCCGTCATTAATTGAAATTGTAACATTTCGCCGAAGACTCTACCTATTAAAAATTTTTATTACAACGTAAATGACGTTGACGTCTGTTACCATAGAATGTTTGACGCGATGCACTAGTTGCATTACCCACCCCTTTGTGTCGTTTTGTTTGATCGAACAATGAGTTTTTTTTAGGGGAACCTTGCATGTAGACAAGGTTTTTTTCACTTTTCGCGTATCAAATTATTTACGTAAAGTAAACAACTTTAGAATAGTGCAATGGCATGCACGAGGGTATACGTTATCATAATTCTATACTAATAGTTATTTGTACAAGTTTTGAAAGTGATACTTTTTTTCATGAATTTGCAGTTTGATTAATGAGGGCCAAGCCCGAGTTAATCAAGCAAATTCATGAAAAAAGGACACTTTCAACACGTGTTGTACAGGAAATTTTTTTGCATAGTGATCCTTAAGAATCCACAATTGAATAATTTTATTGACATTCGCATTTCGCAATTTACTGTCACTCAAAAATGGATGCTATTGTTCATAGACAGGACTAAACTCCATGGAAACGCATAGTAAAAATCGTGAAAAAAAGTACCACTTTCCATACGATTTTTCACTTATAATTGCACAAGAGGTTTGTATTTTACCGAGTAAATTTGGGTTGTTTAGGTAATGAAAATCTGTTGCCTAGCAATTAGACGAGAAAAACTGTCAACTAATAAAAATGCGACACCGCAGGTGGAGCATTTTTAGGTTGACAGTTTTTCGAGTTCAATTGCTAAAAGGAAACAGATTTGAATTGCAACAACCCAAATTTACTCGGTTTAAATACAAACCTCGAGTGTAATTCGGCAGGACAATTTAACGAACAAGAAATTCGCCAAACTAGTCAATTATTGACAGACGTCAAGCTAATCATATGGGAAAGGATAATGCGATAATAAATTGTTCCAAAATGAATAAGTGAAAAAACCACTAGTGCATTTGTCGCTGGAAAAGTTGCAGGTAACTTTTGCCGCTGTCAAAGTGATAATTACACTGCGGCTTATGCGATTTTTTATACATGAGTTGAATTGTCGTTGAAAAAAGTCCGGTAATTTTATCACTATGTAAAAAAATAGTTTCGCCCTTATTACTCAAGCAAAGTCATGAGAAAAAGACACTTTCAACACGTGTTGTACCTACACGAAATTTTTTTGCATAGTGTTCCGTAATTACCCATAATTGAATAATGTCAGTTTCATTCGCGATTTACTGTCAATAAATTGAAGCTTATATGTTCATAGATAGGACCTTAGTGTAAAGCTTACACTATGATAGGACTAAGCACTATGGAAACGCATAGTATAAATCGCGAAAAAAAGTAATACTTTCCATGCGATTTTTTGCTAAAAAAAGTCGGGTAATTTGTTGACTATGAAAAAAACTATTCATAATTATAATGTTCCGGAAATACTTTTTTTAAATATCCTTTAGTTGACAAAAAGTGTCATACAGTGACACAAATGCTATTTATCGGTTAAAATACCCTTCACTTATTCTGCATACAGAACAAAGATCAACAGCACAAAAAAAGCAAAATTCAGTAATGAACTTTAATCACGATCGAAGGTAATTCCCGAAAAGTAAATACTAAAGAATTAAGGATCAGGTAAATAAATACAAAGGGGATTATTAAAATAGGCGACATGGTTAGTAACAAATTCACACAAATTCATCATGCATCATATATGAAGTAATTATGTCGAATATGAAATTTCCTGATCAAATTGCGAATGGAAAGTTAATTGCAATTCGTGAGAAACTGAATGTTGAGGAATCTTTAAAAAAATAGTTAAAAATTTACAATAGGGTATATTACACAAACAAATGATATCAAAAATGGCCTAAAATGAAATAAGAGAGAATTCCCTAATGCAATCCGAGGTTTTAGCTCATCGTAAATGGGGAGCACACGTCAAGACACTACTTGACATCTAAAGGGTAATACTTTACAAGTCCCATCGCCTCACTTCATACCCATTCCCTAGCTCTCCAGCGAAAACTGAACTACTATCTAAAGGTATCACTAAATGATAATCACCCGAACCATCGCCTACTTACACAAAACACTACCCGTACCCGTTTGAACATACAGGGTGCCCATTATATGTATGGAATATAGTATATATCTCGGTGAATATCAACTGTATATTGTTTAACATTTCATTTCCCATAATAATTCAATTGTTTTTATTTCAGAAAACAAATGAGTAACGAATAACAATTGATTTTTTGCAGCTTTTCATTAGGTTCATTTGATAGAATTTTTTTTCGGTGATATAACATTTTAGGTAGTACCCTTATGGTGAACATATTGAACATTCATTGCAATGAAACCCATTTTACTGCTAATTTCGTTCTGCCTTCCAGGTTTAATAAGAAACGTACACGTTCATTTGTTTTATTTTGACGTAGGATATCTGGATTAATATTTATTAATCTAATTATAATAAATTGTGTTGAAAAATATTCTTGGATAAGGGTACTAAAATGTTATATCATCAAAAAAAAATTCTATCAAATGAGCCTAATGAAAAGCTGCACTACCATTTAAATATTTAGTTTTTTTTTGTTAATTGTTAAGTTTTTGTTAAATTGTCTTAATGAATATTGACTTTATTGGTACCACTGGAAAGAATTTTCCAGTAGCTTTCCAACGATGTGTCACAAGTATGGGGTTACCATTTGGGATTATTGAAGAGGGGGGACTGGGGGGTTAAGGGGGAGTGGGGGATTGTCACTCATAACGTCATTCTGGTTCCCCCTCGATACCCGAAACGGTTTTGCGCGATTTTCAATATCTTCTTTAGTTTGGAAAATATGGCCGACTGAAAGTTTTAAAATTGACACCCCGTATACAGAAAAATTTATAAACTGCGATATATAAACTTTTACCCAGAAAATAGAAAAGCAAATCCAAATGGCCTTTAAAGCGGAAGGCTTAGGGAGAGTTTTAGTGGGCATGCTCGGGTAATTGCGGAGTCCCACACTACTCCGAGTTTTCTCATTTCGGAGCACTTCCTTACGAAACAAGTTGTAAATCAGCATATGCATGATTAAAAGCACATTTATGGTAAGGCAGATTCGTATTTGATTAGCAAAGTTGAAAATTATCGATCTCAGGAGTAGTCCAACTCAAAATAGAGCATGCACATCTACACGATAGCAGAAAGCTTTTAGTGAAAATGTGAAGTTGCTAGCTATTGTAATTGTTGAGATCTCAGCCGGACAGCCAGCCAGCTAACCAGCCATAAAGAAAATAATAACTTGTTATATAAGACCAAGCGACAAAGACGGTCGGTGGGGATGAATGGGGGCTAATTGCTGTTGGATGACGACTAATTTGATTTCTTATTTGGTGACGAACGAACGAATGACACAAATTGGTGGCTTTGGTGTATTTCTAGCACGCAATCCACCCTTCTTTATTCCCTTCTTCTTTGCGCATGGTTGTTCGAAGCCCATTCTCAGTTGGGAAGGGAAAACGGAGGGTAGTGTGGTGGTGAGTGGTAAATAAAGAAAGCAAATGTTAAGGAAAAATTAAATTACAACGGGACGCAACACTCATAAGTCAATTGTGAAAAGGAATTAATGGTTTTTTTGGAATCATATTTAAGATAATTATAGAGGACATTGACTGCAAACCCTTTTAATTAAAAAAAATGTACCAAATTCCTTGCAGAAAAGCTTCCTAGCTCAAAAATCGTTCTTCACCGTTTAACGTCTTCGCACTGTTCTTTTACTTTTGTTTGTGTTTATTACTAATAATTCATTTATTATCTAAAATCAGTAAACACAAAGCTCCTTATTCAATTCAATCGACACGTAAGAATAAGAATGACATTTAACAATTTATCCCGTAAGTAGAGGGTACGCCACCCTCATTAAGTTGTCAATGACCTTCTTTTTTGTCGGCGGCCTAGTGCAGATGTTATAGCATAGATGGGTTAAGCTCTACTTTTCTTTACAGTATTAATTAAAAGATTTTAGTGTTTAAATCTATGATATTAATTAGCCATTATAAAAACTGCAGTATATATTTGGACCAAAAGGAATGCTAAGCTGCTAAGATAGTTTTTTAACTTTGACATTTTTTTCTCCGCTTTTTTTTAGAATAAAACGTAGCATAATTTTGTTGTACACAAAAAAGAGTCTTTCGAATAGTTTAATAAAAATATTGTTGTTGATTTGCAAAAAAGGTGTATTATGTCACGGCGCTAAAAAAAGTTTTTGACAGTTTTATATCCTTTATGATGCCTAATGTACATTGGCAAAATTTTAACGAATTCTAACAGTTTTCGCGAAAAAAATTGTTTAGTTTTTTAACTTTGACATTTATTCTCTGTTTTTTTGTAATAACACCTGGCACAATTTTTGTATGTTCGATGACGTTCGGCATCACTCCAAATTTTTTTTTCAAAAATCCGGCTCGTTATTTTTCGTTTCAGTATGCCTAGTATACAAAAAAATTTGAATAAAATCCGTCGAGCCGTTACCTCTAAAAATTGCCAACGTACGTACGTCCACACGTACCTACATACGGACGGAAAAAATAAAAGTTGCTTAAAATAATCTAAAACGTCGACTTTTGTAGAACTTTTAACATGTCCAAAAAACGGTGATCGCAATAGCAATAGCCATTGAAACGATAATGCCGAAATAAAAATGATTTTCTATTATTGCGAATCGAAGTCAAAAAGAAAGAGAGCAATATACAAGATTTGAATGAAATACAGCGGATTGAATATTGAAACAGCAAGATCAACACATGCAAGACCTAAAGGCAATCTCGAGACACCGTTTCTTTAAAGAATACTATTATATTACCATTGAATATATTACCGAGGAAAAAGTAGCTGTTGTAAAAATGGAGAGTGGACAGCGCTGATAAGTAAGTAAAACTTAAGATACTTTCAAGTAAGTAGCTAATGGCCATTTGCACCGACCAATTTAAATTGAGCTTAGCTTAAGCGTAGCTTAAAAACTATGACAACGATGCGACAATGGTTGTCGGTTCGCCCTCATTAATCAAACTGCAAATTCATGAAAAAAAGTATCACTTTCAAAACTAGTGCAAATAACTATTCTGAAAGTAATTAAAGAAAGTAGCTTATATATAGTTACTTTATCAAAGTAACTTTCTCAGCTCTGAGAGTGGTGATAATTCCCGGAAAAGTCGGAGATGGACAATTAACAATTAATTCTTATAAAATTTAATGTTTTGGGGTTAGATTTGGATTGATTTCTTTGCCCCCTGTAAAATTAAAAAAAAACTATAAGCTATGAAATAGACTAAAAGTATCTTTTTCACATGTAACCCTCATTCTTGACACTTTTAATTGTTATATTGTCAGAACTGATTCGAATCGCATATCGTGCTACAAACTTTAATAATCATGGGCGTATGCAGGGAGGGGCAAGTGGGGGCAGCTGCCCCCCCCCCCCCTTGGTCTGGCCACAGGTTACGTTTTATGTTTGTAAAAAATATCTGTAAGAATTGTGTTTGTTGGCTTCTAATTCAAAACCTTTTCCTTTGAGATTTAAGCAATGAAAGAGGTTTTAAGCTATAAATTAGTCGGGCTGAGCGAAGTTATCGTTCACTAAACGCGCGTTAACACAAATCACTGTGCAGTCGTCGCCAGTGATGTTCCGTCTACCGATTTTTCGGTAGATCTACCGATTTGCCGAAAAATTCTACCGATATACCGAAATGGCCTTTATATCTACCTATTTATTTTCGCCCCGTGTTTTTTTTGCATATTTAATATAAAATTAATTGATATAAAAGGGGTAATAACTAATATTTTGAGATATAATAATTTTGAAGACGATTTTAGTAACTATTACCTACTAAAAATAAACATTATGTGTTTCATTAAACATTTTTTTCTGCCAATTTTATTTTTTGCCCCTCCCTAGCCCAAAACCTGCGTACGCCCAGGCGGCCCAGGTAAGGTTTACTGAAAAAAAATTCACAGACGAAAATAAAACACCCTGATGAGGTTCTGCGAGACTGGTAGACAAATAGAAGACCATGAAAATACTATACCCACCTACCATAGTGGAAGATATTTTGCTCTGAGCGACCGATTAATTGGGAAAAAAGACATAATAACTTATAAATCAATGTTAACAATGCAAATTAGTGTTTATTAAAGAAAATATACATAAAACATCAACAGTTTGTGAAAGTGGAAGGAGATCACTACATAAACATACAACTTTTATTTGTTTACTCACATTCCATGCTGGTTTTTGGTACATTCGTTTAGACACCCAATACATCAGTAACCTTCCCGAACTTGGAAAGCAAAATTAGTAATAATTACACTATTAAACATATATTTACTATCTCCCAGTTTTAGAACAACCGCTTATTGTGTTACAAGTACAAAACAATACAATGTTTAAGAAACGGGTTAGCTGTGCACATTTTATATATAATTTTGTGCAACCTTACATTTCTATGCATAGTTGACAGCATAAAAATAGGATTGATAAAAATATTAGTAAAGGAGCGTGTTTAACATTTATACAGGGTAAATGTACATGCTTTTATATACACATATTAGTACATAACGGTTATTTACAGTTAGTTGAGAGAAAAAATTAAACCTTTTTAATGTTGTTGCTAAGTGTAGCCATCAAACTTTTCTGGTCATTACAACAAGAAGTGATTCTATTAAGAAGTTTGATCCCACTTACCGATATATCCTAATATACTTTGGAAAGGGTTAAGTTTAAATCTAGTAGGAAAGTTTGATCGAAACACTTTAAGGCATTAGCAAGCGGTGTTAGAGGCGACTCTCGACGTTTCCTGTGCAAGTGAAATATAGCAATAATGTACAGTTTAAGGCAATTTTCCTTACTTAAAGTACGTACCTACATTTTCCCTCTACTGAATTTAGCTTAAAGCGTTAAACGAAGAAACGCAAATTGCATTTCTAAAATTTAAATCATGAGAAATTTCTTTTATTGCTAAATATTTCGGAGACGACTCGGCCGCCTTTTATTACGAGGGTTCGGAACACAGTCCGATATCTTTAAGCGCAGCTTCGACGTGATCGGCCAGATCTTTGTCAGGTGAAATATCGGGATGATGGTATCCGGTTAGAAAGTGACATGTACCGGGAATATGTGCCGGGAAGTCCTTCGGGAGACATTCACGGGGTCGCTCTTCAAAGCTAAAGCCGGGAGATTGCACGAGACGCCTAAAATAAATATAAATGAAATGGATCTAAAGTATATTTACATTACGGCAGATTGGGCTAAACTTTTTCTCGAGTCTGTGTACTTTTATACTTACACGAAAGTTGTTGGGCTGATGTTTATTCGAAGGGGCTCGCTGCCGGATTCGAATTTATTTGCGACTGTCACATTGTGTCCAAACATGCAATAACGTGGCATCTTTACACCGACGATTCCGGCCAATACCGTCCCAGTGTGTATACCAATTCTCATCTAGAACAACGGCAGATTAGCTTTACTTTACAACATTTCGGTTGACATTATCCACATATAGGGTTTCTCAATGCAGGCAAGGTAAGTGACGCGAATGATCAGATCATTATCAGATAGCAAACTGTCAGAGGAGTTGATGAAGGTAATCAGCTTTAATGCTGTCAGTTCTTTTAAACCGCTCAAGATAAGGTTTCGATTAATTATAGGATGAAACAGTCAGCGATTTTTTAGGTTGCCAGACGTTATCACTTTTACCGCCTTTTCCCAGTCGACTCATTTTTTATTGTAACATAGAGAGATTTTATTTTCTTACGTGAACTTGACAAGCAAGGAAAAGTCAGATAGGTATGCTAACAAATAGCAGAAGTGACACTTTTCTAAGAGCAAGTTGTCTTTGCACAAAAGTTCTTGTGTAACATCTACCGTTGGCGTTGGTTACACTCGAGCTAAGCAGTATTGCGAAAACTTACAGTTGCGGCAGATTTTTTTAAGGAATCTATACGTGATTTTTGAAGAAGACTTGTCACAGCACCCAATTTCGTCGGATAAATCTCCAAACGCTTTGCAACAAGTGAATTTGATGCATTTCCGTGTGTACAAATAAGGGAAGCAGTATACAGTGTCAAATATGAATCACCGTTAGTACTTAACTAGGTACAATAAATGGTCATATTCAGAAAAACGATTCATTAACATTTAATTCTCAAGATAATTATTGTCACGTGTACTGTGAATCAAGGCAAGGCAATGCATTTTGCAGTTTTCGCGACGAAATACGTGATACATGAAGACTTTCCTCTATACTGTCTTAATTGAAATCGAAGTTGATTATATTATTAAGAGGTAAAATGAACAATCTACCAAAAATATAGGAAATAAGACTATAGTTTTTCCTCAAACATTTATAGAAAGTCGACTTGTAGTGCGTTTTCGCCCGAAAAATGAATTTTTATTAAGAGCTGACAGAAATGAGAAAAATTACGATACTCTGAGAGATATGGTGGACAAACTACTACGAGTATAAGAAATAAAACATAAATTAATAGGTATGCATTCTTAATGAAAAAATTCAGAAAAAGGAAATATAACTATAATATTCATTAAATTTGTTATTGTTGTTTTATAGGTTTCCTCTTTTTCAGCATTTTTGATTGAGGTTACATTAATTTGCATTGAATGTTTCATCTTTTTTGGGGCTTTGTAAAAGTTTAGTTGTGCGTAGATACGATAGTATTTTATCCAGATCGAATGTTTCATGTTACTTTCCATTTTTGCTAATTTTTAAGGAGTTAAATTAAATTAAATGTGTAATGCTTTGTTAGGGGTAGTCGTGTTCTAATGATTCGTTATGTAGATTTTATTTGAAAATAAGCAAAATGTACAGTGTGTTCCTGTTAGAGAGCGACTCATAATTTGATACGATAGGATTAGAGGAGAGAGTCAAGATTAACGAGCAATAATTTCCATTCTTTTGGGAAAAAGACTCCCTCACCGCCTTGCTTTATATATTCATTTTTCTAGGCTTAAGCTAGTTCAGTAAGCATAGTAGTGGTACAGTACACTTAATGTAACAAATAGTGTAAGGTGGTAATAAAGGAATAATGGTAAAAAATGACCTCTTCAACTTGGCTTGTTGGATTGACATTGGTCGTCCTTTGAGACGGAACAAAAGGGTTCATACGAGAGATTTCGCAGGTTTCTTTAAGGAAAAGATTGTGGCTTGTGAAGCTTCAGCATCTTCGAGAAACACAAGGGCAGACCCTTTTATATTGTTACACATACGTTATATGTATTAATAAGTATTGGTATTTAAGTTTACTTTTTAGCGTAACTTAATATCACGGGAAGGCTTAAACAGAAAAGTAAGGAAAGGAAATTTTACAAAGGGTGCACTAGTGCAATTTAGAATAGTTATTTGTACAACTAGTTTTGAAAGTGATACTTTTTTTCATGAATTTGCAGTTTGATTAATGAGGGCGAAAGCTTGAGTTAATCAAGCAAATTCATGAAAAAAAGACACTTTCAACACGTGTTGCACACGAGATTTTTTGCATAGTGACAGACAGGACTAACGACATAGAAACGCACAGTAAAAATCGTGAAAACAGTACCTTTTTCCATACGATTTTTTGACAAAAAATCCGGTAATTTTATAAGTATGCAAAAAAGTTCATTTTTACACTTTAGGATAAGTATTGAATTGATAAAGCATCTAAGTGATTATTAAAATATATATTAAAAGTTTCCTTGACGCTAATGTCGATATGATACTTTGTTAAAAACAAACCCTAACTTTAAAAAGATACGTAGGCATATGGCAACAGACGTAACATAAGTCATAGGGGTACTCAAAGATCAAAGAAGGTAGGCTGTAGGCAAGTGTTTATAAACCTCTCGCCAGGAAAGATTGCCGGTCATAGAGCACTTGATCCAGGTCTACAATCTATGTTTTTCTAAAGATGCGAGGGACTTCCGGGATAGTATCGTGCCAATGTTGAACAAAAAGACTTTTCGTTCAACATTGGCACGATCCTATTCCCGAAGTCGCTCGCATCTTAAGAAAAACATAGTTTGTAAATCGACACAAGGTGTGCTGTGACCGGCAATCGTTCCTGGCGAGAGTTATATTACACTTACACACTTACACCCCATAGTTAATTATAGGAAAAGGAAGGTTTTTATCATTTACATTTTATACGCATTCAATAGGTTTTTTTTTAACAAAATGGCAGATAAGGATACTGTGGTAAGCAAGCCAGGTAGAATTAAGGCGAAAATTATTGGAATTGAACATATTATAAAGGCAAATGATGACAATTTATTGATTGACAGTAACGAATTTGTAATTAAGGAAACAATGTTTGTTAAGGCGTACGAAGAATACACGTATGAGCAAATTCAGGCTCAAATAATAGGAAATAGATGATAGTCATCAGTAAGGTGATAAGGTTGAAGTGGAATTACAATTATTCATCTTTACATAGCAAACGTAAAACTTACAGTTTCTAAACGATTAAATTCAGCACATCAAGGTGGGGTGTCAAGTGATTTCGCCGATAATTCAGGGTCTTCAGCAGGTCTCTCTTCTAAAGTCAAACTTCCAAGTATATCAATATACCAACTTTTTCTGGTAAATACAAAGGGTATCAATCGTTTATAGATTTATTTGATTCTCTCTTTAGTTGTGATAGGCGCACTTAAATAAAATTCAAAAGTTCATACATTTTGAGTCAGTTTTAAAGGATTACCCAGTACTGATGATAAAGGACCCACAAACTACCTAGCCAAATTATGACGTTGCGCTAGACATTTTAAGGAAAAGGTATGACAATAAATTAATTAGAATAAACTGCCACACTCGAAAATTCCTTGAAGCACAATCTTTAAAGGGTGCTTCACCAACCTTGAGTTATTTTATCACAAGGCTTAAGCAAAACTACAATGCTATTGCAGCTTTAGGGGTTCCCCTAGAGGCACGGCACTTAATTTTGATGCATGTAATGAAAATTAGATTTTGTAACACCGAGCTTCCTCAACTTTTATGGATTTTTTTTAATAAACGGTGTTCTGCTCGGGAATATTTAACCTAACCAGAGTTTAAAGAAAGTCATTCAAGGCTAGTTAATTCTAACAGGCGGAACAGAAAATACAAAACTCAAATGCATTTGTTGCAATTTCGATATGCATGCTATCTATAAGCTCAGTAAATTTCTAACATTTGATTTAGCTCATAAGAGATTTAGTAACAAAAAATGGACTTTGTTACAACTATTTGGGATAATTAACATACGGCAAATAGCTGTAAGTCAGATGGCCGTAGACTTTCCAAGGGAATGCATGTTTCCTCGTTACATGAGGAGAGGAAAGGGGACGAAAGTAATCGAGTGAATCAAAGTCAAAATAGGTTTAATGGCCAGCAAAGAGGCAGTGAGGGTACTAACGATAGGTTACAAGGGAGTGGCAGAGATTTAGCACATGAACGGTAATGTTATCTACTACTACAGATGGTTCCATGTTTAGTATCCAAAGTGGATACTCAGGTTAATATATTACAAACAGCCATGGTCAATTTGGTTTGTCATGATGGTTCTAGGGTACCGGTTAGAGCACTTCGGATTCGGCCTCTATGTGTTCAGTTATTAAGTCTCATATGGATGTAAAGATCACCAGTGTTGTAAGGGTCGATATTGAGTCTCAATGTTATCAAACGGAAAAGGTTACTACAGTGTGTGCTATTATGCCGAGGGAAATTACTTAGCCATTCTAATCTTTCATTGATATCGATTCGTTAAGGTAATGTTATTGATGTAATAATAATAAATTTTTTTGAAAAATTTCCTTGTATAAGTACTAACATGTTACATCATCGAAAAGAGAAAAAAATCTCTATCAAGTGACCCTAATGAAAAGGTGTACTACCATTTAAAAAAATTCAATTGTTTTTGGTTACTTATTTGTTTTTTGAAATAGAAACAAATGAATGCTGCCTTATTATGGCAAATAAAATGTGAAACTTCTTTCATATAGAATTTTTTTTTATACATTCGATATTTACCGAGATATACAGCGTGTTGCTTCGACAGGCGGGACCTAGGAAATCCCATGTAAATTTGAAGGAGGTGAACTATTGGCTTCCCTACTTATTTTAGAGGAAAAATGAATTAGGTTATTTGAAAACTCTCTACTATTATTTGAATTACTTATGTAAGGGTGATTTTTTCTTGATTTCTGACTGTATTTTTGTCAAAACGATAATCCCCCTTGATTTGGATTTGGACCGCCTTTTCTCTTCTATTGAGTTTTTGGGCGATTGCGAGGGCGATTGTATAGTTTTCTTATACATAAACTGTGATACTGTTAATCAGATACCACCAAGTCTGAGACAGGCAGAAGTTTGATTATGGCTTTCCCATTTTCCCCGCCATTTTGAAAAAAAAATGTTCTACTTCCACTGAATTTATCCAGTCGAATTTTGCAACTTTTATTTGAACTTTTTTCGATAGCTCTCTTTGTTACTAAAATATTTGAACTTTTTCAAAACGGCGATTTTCACTTTTTTCCAATTAACTACGAAACGAATTATTTTTTTTCAAAATATCGCATCGCATTATCACGATTGAAATATTTTCCTTTATACGTAAAAAAAAATGCTGTGCCGTTGCGGCGCTCCAAATTTTTTTTCTTTAATTGAGCCCCACTAACGAAACCTTCTCTGGAACCACATACAGACACAGAAATGGGTAAAGTTGTAGAATTAAAAGTTAAGAGTTCAAGAATGAAACGCGGATACCCAAAAACCTTCAGTCGGTATGGAAGGTACAAAGTACTTATTTTTCACTAAGTGCCGAGCGTTATATCGACAACGTACGTTTCAAGAACGGTCAGTATAGTAAATGAGTGGAAGACGCTCTTAAAAAGTAAAACGCCTTTGGAGTGGAAGGTGCATTATTCAACAATAAATGAGATAAATAAATTACGAATAAATAGGCGGGCAGACTTAAGTTGGAGAAGACTTGTGAAATTAAAAAAATATAAAGCTCCCTGCTCCCTTGATTGTGAAATGTTCACAGAAGGTAAGTAATAAAACCTACTCTTTTGATTTTTGGATCTTAAGGACCTCGTCTTTGACACAACTGCTATACGTAGCCTGTCAAATTGTTGAGTTTTGTATCATAATGAGATGCACATCCAAAAGCAATCGGTGATATTCCACCTCCATGCAAAAGTCTATCCTTAGAATAGTTACCCTAGAGAAATTCCATACAAAGGGAGAACGCTTTTTCGGTGTAATTGTTTAAAACTGATTATTGTAGCGTCAAATTTAATGTTTTCAAACGGCACCTATTGATCAATAGTATACTAATCACTGATCTAATGGCATACTGTGTTTCAAGTTATTACAAGATATTAAAAGATTAAATGCAATGTTTAATGGGCAATCAGATCTAAATCCCGTAAACTTTAGTTTCTACCAAATATAGGTACCTACCTAAACCATACATATTCGCTATTATTATCTAAGTTTGGGCCTCAAACCTATTAAGAACAAATGATCCAATTCCGCAGCGAAAAGGTTCCTTTGAATGGTATCATTTAAGAAAGAGAATTAGGGTAGGAAAAGTTTTTATAGATTGAATTTACTATCCAATTAGGCCTAATGATTAGGGATGTTTTAAGCATAAAAGGAGGGATTTTCCTCTGCAGTGTGCTACTGAAATTCGCTGTAAACAATTTACCCTTATAGGTTGGCCCTGATGCGTCTGATGATAAGCGCATTTATTTATCATTTTCAACGCCATCCAGGCTATTTGTTGTGCGTGAGTGCTGCTGTCTTTGTGTAGTCCTCCGGCGACGCAATAGGCATCGCCTATAGTCTCCACCTGAAACAAAGAAACAGAGTAATTATAACGTCCAAAAATCGATAACTTCTGCCGAGATGTTTTGATTTCGGCGAAAATGAGCTGAACTAGAGCATATCGTGATTTAATTAAAACGAACGAAATCGTCATTAACGAAATAACAAAGATTGTGTTGGTGTTAATGAAATTTCCAAATTCTGCCTTGTGCCCGCTATTGCAACAATGGGCTGTTCATAACAAACTTTTTAATTATTAAAATGTTATTAACGTTAATTGCGCTCGGAGTTTCATTATTTGCGAATCCCAAATTTGTAATCTCATAAATGTTTTCAGAATTTCACTTAATGAGCTCATTGAATTTACTCCCGATATTTTAATGCGAATGTCTACGTTTATTTTTGAGGATAATATTGCGATCGAAGCGAGCGAGGTTTTAATGCGCCTATAGTCTTTTGAATTTGAAAACATCGTGTTATTTAGAAGTACTGTAACACCTGTGGCCGTTGAACTAATAAAAAGTAAAACAAAAACTCTAATAAGCCACAATTCCTAAGTTTCGGTTCGTTACGTGAATAATGTTTTTTTTTTGTATCCTCGATACCATAAAATTTATCCCCCAGAGGACTTTTGGCCCAACTATTTACTATATTGAAAAAGCAGCTGACAATAGAGAATAGAGTGCTATTTCTTGATTTTGTCGTCTCAAGAAGTGGACCACGTAAGAGTATACTAGCACTAAAGGATTCATAACTACAGGATTCGAACCACTGTATATATATACACCATAAACGTGCTTCCTTTAACTTCAGAGGTCTGTAATAAATTAAATTGTTACTTCATTCGAGGGCATCATGCGAGAAGGGCGTATGAACATTTTTGATCAAAAATGGCCTTTACGCCTAATTAATAGCTTGCAATCTAATGTATGTCCTGCAGAAAAGGCGTTTCGCTATAGTTATAATCAGAGAGCGGGTCGTGGGAATTCTATTAAAAAAAAGCGTAACCACTGATTTTAGTAAAGAGTAAAGAGCTAAAAGGACGCATGACCATACGCCCGTGAGTTATTGTGGCAGTTAGGGCGTATAAACAAGTAGCCCATACATATAACGTCACTTGGAACATGGATAAACGCAAGATTATTTAGAAATTGGCCACCTTTTATTCGCATTTGTGTGTTTTTTTGTGAAATACATGTCTTCAGTTCTCTATTCTGGTTTGTTTATTCGCATCGAAATATACGCCTTACGGTTCTAGGAAAAAAACAATTTTTTCCCATCGAAAAGGGCGTAAGATCAAAAATATACTCTGTTATTTGTATTCAAAGATTCACAAGACTAACTGGAACATATTCCCTAGTAATGAGAAATAACTACCCTAAATTAAATTTCAGTAGAATAATAAATTCGTGAAACGTTTTTTTTTCATTTCCAGAAAACTTACATTTTTGTTGATATCTACGCCCTTCTCCCATGATGCCCTCGAATGGTAGTATATACAAAAAGTTTTAGGCAATCCAAAACACCCCGTAGATCTAGCCGTAGATACTAAGGATAAATCGGGAGTAGACAATAGTTATTTACATAAAATTCAGGAAAATGACAGTACATTACAGGCGAGGAAATATTGAAGTACGAGGCCCCATTGTGGCCGCCGAGTACTTTAATTTCCGAGTCAAGTAATGTCATTTTACTGACGAGTTTTGCATTAAATTTTACCCAAAATCATAATTAGAACATTCGATTAATGTGAATCTATCAGTGATGACAGGGGTCATTTAGCAATGTGACAGGTGCGTGAGTAAAGTGACAGGCGGCAGGAAAAGCACTGTGCCTCAGTCATGGAAACTTAAACTTTCCTGACATAAAGTAGGCATAAAAATGAAGGATTCCTGACGATTTTGGGTAAAATATTATCTTGTAAGGATTTCAATCAAGTATATATCGAGCAACTAAAAAGATCCTTAAAAATCGTTTTGGAAAGCACATGTGACATGGCCCACTTCAAAGGTAATCGTTGAGATAACAAGTCATACAGTTAATGATATTTGCCTAGTTACGCAAGTAGTAAAAGTGACTTAGATTGTTGATTGGAAAGTAAAGATTCCTTAGATCCGCAAGTTGTGGAGATAGCAGCGCATAATGTAGAGTGGCATAAAAGGAACGCATGGATTTCTATAGCATAGTGTAACCTAGATTAGTTAGAGCCCAGAAAATAATCTCTTTTGTGGGGTTAGAGCGTCTACTTTCGGAAACAATGCAGTTATGGGCCCAAATAAAAATTTGTAATTCTGTAATTGGGTTACTTAAGGAAAAAAATTACTGCAAATTAATTTGTTATACAATGAAAATAAAACTATCTATAACAGTTTGAAATTTATGCGATTTTTTTGCGCCATCCTTTATAAAAGATCATATATCACATTATTTTTTTTACAGGGAACATGTTTCGACCTCGGTTTCGATATTTACTACCCCAATAACAAAAGGGTTAATAGGATTTTCACGCCAGGACCTACGAAAATGATCATAGAGAAATATTAGAAAGGCTCTTGTAAAGTATTGAGACTGGCATTCTACACCATCCTTTGTTTTTGACAGCCTACCATAGTTCAGTTAAGCCTGGTATGGCGATCGTCCATCTTCCATTGTTGTTGTTGAGACATTTTTTATAAAACGTTACCTAGTTGTTTTAAGAATTTTTCGCATTGAAGTGTAAAAATGTATTCTATCAAAAAAACGTACTGAAGGCAATACATATTAAGGGAATCCAAAGGCGCAATCGAGGGCGCAATACTATTCAGCATATTCCTGCAATGGACAACAGCAATGATATCCCTCAATTACTGACAAATGGAGATAATTACGCATTTACTAGCTCAAATAGGGCTTGTAAAGACAAATTTTAATTGAAAATTTGAGAAAATTGTGTCAAAGCTTCCGAGTTATGAGTAAAAAGAAACGAGATAAACGGTTTGTTCTGACACCTCAGGGAACCAGATTTCGTAAAAGAATGTGATATCTTGCGCAGACAAGGATTTGGAAAATGACATCAAAATCAAACCACTTGATGCGCTGGAACCTGGGATAAAAAAGTCAAAATGCGTACGTCGAAATTCGAAGTGATGATCGTTTTGGGGCTTAGATACATAGACCAAATAGTTGGGGACGTAGCAAGGGTAGTTATGTAGAAGTGAAAAGATCGCATAGTAGCAACAATACGGTTGCCACCTAAGTTTAACCCCTGACCCAGTAAGCCCAATAATAAATCACAAATTATGGTTGGACCATTGCCATGAGGTTGATGTTAGTGGTTTAATTTTTTTATCAACGGTCGCGGATATTATTGATTATACCAATAGTGGCGGTTTCATCAGCCTGTACAATTTAAATCAGATTGGGTAGTTTAAAAACTAAGTAATCAAATTGGTGCGTGTATGGGAAAAAAAAGATCGTAGGTGTTGAACTCGATGTAGAAAAAGGTGATTATATTAGCGCGAGAGCCGGGAAGCCAAGAGTAAAAATCCTGACAGTAGACGGAATCGGTCTTAACGAAAAAGCGTGTTTTTCGACGAGACGGGTAGCCGCGTAAAGTTGACCCAAAGCTAACGTAAGAGGTTAAGGTCTCAAAGAACCGAATTGTTGCCGTGTACCTATCCCGTCCATATTAAAAATTGGTGCGGAATCAAAATTCGGAGTGTAAAGTGAAAGAAGGGTGTTCTTTTTTAATTTCGATCGAGGGAAAATCTTTATAAGACTAGCGAATTTTCCCAAGGCAGGTACGCGAAGTGTACTCGCAAAAAACACTATCAAGTTTAAGTAGGGATCGGTAATCTGTAGTCATTGAGGTGATCAAAACGGTTTTTATCTGGTTAAGTGACGTAAAGTTCTGCCTAGGCACTATCCGTGGATCTGTGGATGTCCTGATGAGCGCGTGTAATTTTGCAACGAGAAAACCTATTCCCTCGATCAACCCACCGAAGACGCGATTTGTTCTCACATCTCCCCCAAATTACCTACAGATCAGGATCACCAAGGACAACGGGCCTGTTATCGCCCTCGAACGGCCATTGCCAGGTTCTGACAATTCGCGTGAAAGGACAATTACGGCGGAAATCAAGTAAGATAGTTTTAGTTGTATAGAAATTGCTGATTGGTTTTATACTGAAGGTAGATCTACTTGTACAAACCTTTTAATTTTTGAGCAGTTCATTCTACAAGCTATGGAAAAAGGATACCAAGTTGACGCGATTTATACAGACTTTGCAAAAGCATTTGACCGAGTGAACCATATGGTATTAATAAATAAATTAAAGTGTCTTGGTGTAGGTGGTTCCTTAATTAACTGGTTTGCCGATTATTTGACGAACCGACAGCAAATAGTGAAAATCAAGGAATTTGTTTTTCATACTATACCGGTTACATCTGGAATACCGCAAGGATCACATCTTGGACCCCTTCTTTTTAATGTTTTTATTAACGACATCGTAAGCTCCTGCGAAAACGCGAACTTTTTGTTGTTTGCTGACGATCTGAAGCTTTATTCCATCATTACCTCCACCTCGGACGCCGTGTCTCTACAAAATTCCCTCAACAACGTTCTTCAGTGGTGTAGCAGGAACGATATGAGTCTAAACGTATCTAAATGTCATGTCATGCGTTTTCACCGTTGCGCAAAGCCATACCGGTTCGACTACTATTTAGGTACTACGCATTTAAATCAAGTAGCCAGCATTATCGACCTAGGTGTTACTCTCGATCCGGCCCTTAGGTTTCACCTCCACATACAGAAAATAATATCCAAGGCCAATCAAATGTTGGGTTACCTGAAACGTACAACAACACATTTCACCAATGTACAGACCTTAAAAATATTGTACTGTTCGCTCGTTAGAAGTCAAGTGGAATATTGCTCTTCGATTTGGGACCCTCACTATGAAAAATACGTTATCGCACATGAACGTGTACAACGTAGATTTTTACGATATGCCGCTTTTAAATTAAATCTTACACTGCACAGAGATGAGACGTCATATTCGGAAGTTCAATCCATCTTAAAATTAAGTTCATTATACCACAGATTTAAATATACTATATTTAAATCTGTGGTTAGTATATTTAAATCTGTGGTTATACTCTCGCCGCAAGGTTAATGATGTGTGTTTATTATTTAGGATTTTAAACTGCACTATAAACTGTCCATACTTATTAAGAAATATAAACATTAATGCGTCATTGAGAACATTACGTAGTGCACCTATATTTTATGTACCCTATCATAAAACCAAATATGGACAATCGTCTCCCATTTCTAGGATGTGCACCACAGCCAACACTATGCAAAAATTTCAGTTTTTTTGGTGTACCTATATCTTTATTTAAAAAATTATTATTTATAGAAAATAGATATGTCTTAGAGTAACAATATTTAGTTTTATATTTCCACCTTGTATATCGTTTGCGTTAGTTTTATGTAGTTATTTAGTTTTTATTTAGTTTTTCCAATACGTAACCCTTCATATATTCATATCTATCTTTTATATCTATTGTAGTTATATATCTCATAGTTGTTTGTCTCACTTACGCACTGCTCTTCACGTTTCATTTTTCTAATATGTATTAATGTGTTTTTTTTTTCTCTTTGTTATATAATGGGCAACCGTAAATAAATAAATAAATATTTGTGTAGATGTATTGTAGAAACCTATCCAATTCTGTCTCAAATTTACCCCTTTCACGACCTGCATGTTAGAGTTTTATTTTAATCTGGAGAGCGGATATTCGAATAGGTTTCGATGTAAAATTTGTGTAGTAGTTTTAAGTTCGCGCAAGAATCCCGTGAATCGAAAATAATGTACCAAAGTAATCCTATAAAGATTCTAAGCATGAAATAAATATAATAAAATAAAGTTTCAATGGTTCTATAGGAATTTTAAGCATAAATCACACGTTTTTACTAATGCATTATCCAAATGTGTGTTTTAATGAAAAGCACTTTTTAAAAGCTTTTCAATGATACATTGTAAGTATAGCACAGATTACCCCACAGACCTACACTAATTTGTGGTGATACATAGGTTGCATCGGAAATTGGCTCTCTCCATTCTGCGGGCGCATCCGCGTTCTGCCCAAAAGCTGTTTAGCTATTTCTTTTATGTCTAAGAATATGTGTACCAAATTTGGCTCCAATCGGTTCAGCCGTATAGCCGGAAATCAGAGAACAGACGGACCGACATCATTGTAATTTCGTTTAATTCGAAAACGTGTATTCCCGTCAAAAAAGTGGGGGGCCATTGTTACCCCAATGCAATACTTCTCTTACTAACGTGCGGGTGGTAAAAAGATATGGTCCATTGAAGATGTTTAAATAATCACTCTGTATACATATAATACAACGATTTTGACCAATGTAACACTTGATAAATTTATTCCTAAGGGGGAAATAGATTTATATAATCTTGACGACTTTGCCGGCCCTGTTTTTTGCCGCCCTCGGCTTTGGCCCACTCAGCCTGCCTGTACGCGTAAATCCATCCATGCATGAAGTTCAGTATTATTTATTATCCCCATTTTAGGAATAGGGGAAGTCGGTTATACGTTCTAAGTAGGGAACGAAGATTGATTTCTACTAGTCTCGGTGCTAGTGAATAGGTACTTAGGTACATGAATCACATAAAAAATGTCAATTATGCGCGAAAATCTTCTCTCCTGACAGTCGTATGCGATTCTCTGTAGGTATATGCAATAGGTACCCCAAGAGACAATTATCTCAGTATAAAGCATAAATACAATAGGTATTTAATTAAATGCGTCTGCCGAAATGATCTTTGTTACAATTAGAATTAATTAACTGCCATTAAAGGCTGTGGGAGTCGAAAGTCTGAAATGAGATGTTACGTGCAATCGAATTTTGCGAACAGCTTAAATAATCACTCGAACGTGAAAGACATTAAACGTTCAATTCAAAGTGGGAAAATATGTTGGATAAAAAGTACACCAATTTTAATTAGTTTCGTTGTAATTATGAAGGACGTAAGTAATTATTTATAAAAAAACTGCATTACAAACGTGTTACAGTAGAATTAACACATTGATACAGTAATTCAAGGGTACTCTAAGTGGTACAGTTTACCAGAACCGATTGACAAATTCTCACGTTACTTCTAAATTTGGTGATTGTGTATTTATAATGTTTAATTTGCGTATTATATACCTACACCGACTTACATAATTAATGTTACTGCATTCGTTACATCACCATCTTAAGAGTGGAGATTTGTTTATAGCAAAAGTATTTAGTTTTAGTGTTGGATCAACCTCAAATGAAGCCGTCCTTCTTGGCGGTTGTTGGTATAATAATTTTATCAGTGAAGTGCGTTACGGCAGGTATGTAAATTCTTTAGTTTACAAGCATATTTGGTTATGAAAGTGCCAATAGACCGCAACGAAACTACAGAACTATTGAATGCAGTTGGCAACTTTTTAAAAACGGTGAGGGCTCGATTGGCTCACGTATCCGCCCTTGGACTTGACGCGGGTATTGTGTCTACCGGAGAAATTGCGACACGATTTAAGGAAAGCATCAAGGCAATATTTCCAGGTGAGTTTGGCACATAAATCGCTACAAGCAATTATTGATAGTATTTTAGGCACGCTCTGGTGTGGTGATGGAACAATTGCAAAAAAATCGGATGAGTTAGGATATTTCAAATTAGCCGATGCGTGCTGCAGGGAGCACGATAATTGCAGCGACATAATTCTAGGGGGTGAGAGTAGGAACGGGCTAAGAAATCCCGGTTTATTCACCAGGTAAATTCTCATTGAAAACTCGCACGATTACCAGCGCAAATTGGTCTAGGTCAAACTGCGCCTGTGACGACAAATTTCGCAAATGCCTCAAAGCCACCGACTCGATAATATCGAACAATATCGGCTTCACCTACTTCACGATACTGGGACCTCAATGCTTCAAATTCGAATATCCCAAGGTGAAGTGCGAGAAGAGGCTATGGTGAGCACTGACTACCACAATCTTCGACTTTATGAATGCATTTTAGGTTCAGATGTGCAACCTACAAGCTGAATTTCACAGGAAACCCATTGTATCAATGGTTCGATAATCAATATTACTAAAGTTAATTATCGCCGGTTTCAAAGTCACCAAACCGTAACCTCATTATGGTCAATTACATGCAAATATATGGGTTGTAAATGTTTCATAACAAGCTGGATAGTCTGCAATTGGGGTCATCGAGAAATTTATTATTTAGCCATTACGTACAATACAGACCTACATTCCAATCTTGCAATATCTGTTGTAGTCCACGGAAAAAAAACAAAGAACGAGTTCTTCTTTCTTAAAAAGGAAGTGAAGGTGAACTCTCGTTGCTGTACAGTAGATATTTATTTATTGTTTAACCCACGTTGGGAATTATATTTATTGAATAATAAATTCCAATGTATATAGTGCGGTTCAGTTATTTCTGTAGTTGAAACAATTACAATGAATGGGACAGGACGAAACGAGTATATTGGCCACTAGATCTATTAATACCAAAAAAGACTTCCTTTGAGCGGTTGTTCAATTACGAAAGTGCGTTGTTAAATCCAATTAAACACAATTGTAATCGGCAAAGTAACAGGTGGGCTAAGAATTTGATGACTAAACATTTTTTTTATGAAATCCAATTTAAAATTATATCCTAATAGGGAATTGAAGAAGCTTTCAAATGAATATATTTCACACGAGAAAAATCATATATTTGGATAACTGAACTTTAAAAGTAAACGTAGAAAAAAAAAACCGAAAGCCCCATAAAGAGATACATTATTCGGACGCGTTGCAGCATCAAAGCTGTTTATCACCGACCGTGTGGCTCAGTGGTAGACCGCTTGTCTACATAGCCGGAGGTCGGGTCCTGGGCTGAGGTTAGAATTTTTCATCTGTACCAGAGATGGGAATTTCCTTAGTTCAGTTTCGAATTAGGTTTTCCTGTAGTTTTACTAAGTCGTAAGGTAAATACCGGAGTAGTATATAACAACTTAAGACCTTCTGCAGGGGCACCTCTAAAAAGCATTATGCCGATCACTCTGTAATTGGGCGAAAACTTGTTGAGGGCCCAGAACAAGAGGGACAATAAGAAAATCATTGGCGAACCAAACTTAAAAGTTACTATTTCGCTATGGTTTGTTATTTTAAATTTTACGTTGCTTTTTAAATGTTTTCATACCTATGGCAGCATGTGTGTGGTAAAGGTCTAAAAGCAATAGGTACTCACTTCCACTAGTGCATTCAACAACTCCAATACAGTTGCTGGGGGTGCAGCGCTATACAACATGTTTTTGAATAACGAAATGCAGTCGATGTAGCACACGAAAAGAACTTCTTTAGGAAATATACAGGGTGTTCCTAAATATGATATATATACGGCAGGGGCCAATTATTTGGCTTATTTTACGACTATTAGTAAGATTCCTATGTACAAAGGTACGCTCCGTTACCGCTCCACAAGGTGATATAATGTTCCATTTTCTACCCCTCGACTTTGTTTGGTGCGCCGTTAGTAAATTGAAAAATAGGAAATTCGTTTTTTTAAACGGTCGAGTGTAGGCCCTTGCTTTATATGGATAATCCCATTTTTTTATTTGTTTTGACAGTTCGCATTAGAAATTGTGCATATATGTTTAGTAATTATCCGTGTCTTAAACCATGTAGATCGGTAATGAGCCGTTTGCCTTTAAAGTTGAATTCAGCCGTTTTCACCTTTTCAAATGAACCCGAGCAAGGCTGCTCCAAGATATTTAAAATTTAAAGGATATTTTAACGAAAACAATGAGCGCCCCTCATGTTATACAACTAAAAAGGTTTTCCATGCATTTTTCAGCATACCCAAAATGCCATGACTAGGTTTTTCTTTACTAAAAACATCTATGGTTAAAATTTCAAAGAAATACCTCAATAAATAAGAAAGTTGGCATTGCGCAATTTACGCATATTATTTTTGCAATATGCGATATGTTTGCATTTACCAGAAGCGTATGTCGTTAAAATTTCAAACAAGCAGCATCTATGGTTAATCAAGAAATATCCTCAAAAAAGTTGGCACTGCGCAGAATGCGCATAGGTTGCGCATGCGTACGTTAATCTGATGTTTACAACATGCTATACGTTTGCTTTTACTAAAAGCTTCTTTCGTTAAAATTTCAAAGAAATATCTCCATAAATAAGAAAGTTGCCATTGCGCAGTCTGCGCATATCTGAACTATATACGGCCTTTACTAGAAGCAACTGTGGTTAAAATGTCATGCGCATATTAATCTCGGGAACTGTAAGAGAAAAAAACAAAATTTTGCAAAATCGTTTTTTACTGAAGTTATTTAAAAAGATATTTCGAAATAAATGACAATATTATGGCCACTTTTTTCCGTCTATTAGATGCAATTTTTAAATTTTAACTTTGACGTTTCGTCTCCCGTCAACAAAGATCAACTTTGTTTCTTCTTATGGGAGTCATGTTACTTTTTGTGTCATTTGATAGAGAATTTTTTCTGATTTCAAAAATGTAAACATCACTATTTTTTAATAAGAAATAACGCTATTAATTCGTAAAAACTCTAGAAACTACGTACGTACACTACCCAATACAAATTTTTCTAGGTAAAAAAAGATATTTTAACAATATCAAAAATTGTGAAACGTTTGAATTGGTCACGTGATATTGGGAATTCACGGAAGGTGGAATAGTTCTTTCCTTCATTAAAATGAAATGATTAAGTTAAATTGAATGATTAAATCAGTGTTTTTATTATGTTTCTTATTCAATTAAAAAGAAATATGAGCTTCCTTCAACTTTTATTACAACCGCGCCATCTAGGTTATATGAGGCGTATTTATTTTCTCGCCTAGCCTGAAAAATGAAATTTTCTCGCTTTATTCCTCCAATTGCCTTCTTTCCCGTCCTCATAAAGACGAGAAAAGGCAAGTTTCTCCTTGTATAGGATAAAAAATTATATTTGAAAAATTTGGCTTATCAGGTCAAATAAAAGGGATATCTCGAACGCACTGTACATTGTTTTCGTATGACAATGGTAACTATTACGTAAGAAAAAAGACTAATTTTCGCTGTATGGACACACATTTCTACAAAAATTAAAATTATCGTTTCGAAAGGACCGAGTCCAATAACACGCTAAAAGTATTCCGGTAAATTAACGTTTAAGAAAATTCCGCAGTAAGTTGTTACCGTGGTGAATAAATAAAAGGGTTTGACCTTTTTGTGAAACTTTCAGTTTCAAAGAAGAAAAGTTTACGAAAAGGCACTGTTATTTAGTGTTTTACTATTTTGCTAATATCAAAAGCGTTCAGAAATATAGAAAACCTGTGGTCAATAGTTACTTGCATGTGAGTATGGTAAATCAAGGTGTACGTTAACGAGTGAGAATTTCGAAACCAGTAAAGTAAACTGATGTAACATACAAATAATGTAAAACACGTTATTTCATACTGCTATTTTGAGCGCAGTTTCCTCTCATATAGGAAGGCGCTACTATAGCCACTTTAACCGTCCGTCCGTCCGAGGCCTTAACTACTCCTACAGTTTTCAAGATATTTAGTTCGTTCTTTTTGTATTTGGTAGCTCAGCCACGAAAAATCATGACGGTTAACGTACGCATGTGATGTGACCAGGGATATGACCTTTCTTGGAAAAGGAAAACAACACCAATAAACCATAATAATATATTAAAACCTCGAACGCGTTTCGCCAGTAAAGCTGTATCATCAGTAACCAATTCTTATTTATACATATATTTTTTTAAATTTTAACCAAAGACTCTTCTAGTAAAGACAAGCATATCGTATACCGTAAAAATCGAACATTCGCAAACTGCGGAATATCATCTTTCTTATTTATGGAGATATTTTTTTGAAACTTTAACCAAATATTCTTCTAGTAAAGGCAAACATATCCCATATTTTAAACATCAGGTGTGCGTATGCATATACTGCACAATACTATGCTTATTATTTATGCCTTAACTTATTTTCTTTTGTACATATAAATATTTAGTTCTTTCATGGAAAATGCGCTAAAGTTACTCGCTACATAAGGCGAAAACTTTTTTTCATTTTTGTATTAAAATGCCACACAATTTTTGATTACAATGTACACATTTAAATAAAAGCAATCACTTTATTTCTTGATCTGACAGAAATTGGCACATTAATAGACAGGGTGTAGAATTATTTTACAGTAAAGTTATACATTTTTTTCAGATTGTAAAATTCCGCGTCAATTCATGCACATTTGTAATTTTTTGTTGTGGGAAATCGGAGAAATTAAGGAAATTATTGACATTTTAGTAAAAATCAATTGTACTGTGAAATGATTGAAACAAAAATTCGATTTGTACGCAAATGCTAAATTCTAATTTATTAAATTATTCCGGTTTCACCAACTGAAAAATAATAAATGAGCAGACGCATAATTTTTCAAGCTAAATTAATTAAGAGAGAAAATATTTCGATTGAAGAGATTAGCATTGAAATCCCTATGGGTGATCCAAAATAACTACAGACAGTTTAAATTTGACGCACAAAAAGTTTTTAGTGTCTTGGCAAACATGTTTTAAAGGTGGTTCATTTATGCAGTAATCGCCATCCACAAGATAGGTGATCGTTTAATTAGTAAGACTATCCCCCTGGCAATATTAGAATGAATATTTGAAAACATGAACACGAGTGTGCATTTGTGCTTGATAAATTAATCTTCTTTAATTAATTAATTGTGATTACTGCTTAGTGATCCATTAAACTGATCCACTACTGCTTTTAAATAACTGACATTTGGTATGTTTGTTGTTGTATGTTTAGTTTTGTGGGAAATTCAAACTGTCCGCAGTCATTATGGATCACCTGGTACCTATACATTTAGATAGGTGTCAGTGGATGTTGACAGGCAACATTTCTAGTCTGGTAAACATCTTCAGTCTGGTAAAATACGATTTACCAGACTCAAATAAGTCTAATAAAGTGGCGATTACTAGATAGTATGAAATAAAAAATTTTTTTCGTGATAACCTCTTAAAAGCTGTTAAAGAATGAAGACCTCGTAACGAATTCAAAGCATTTAGAAGGCTTTGTGGACTTTTGAAGACACTTCGCGAATTTTAAGAGAGAAAAAGCTTTCAAAACAACAACAGCTCTAAAGTGCTCCGCAAAAAAAGCCTCTCGAAGTCCATTGCAAATTTTTGATAACCCCTAAGAACTCTAAAAGTTAATTAAAAGTTCACAAATCTAGAAGACTCAAGGTTTTAGAATACCCTTATTAAACTCTTGCAGGTTTTTAGAAGCCTTAGAAACTGATGTTGGAAACTTTTAAATGCTCCCCCGAGACCTTTAAATTATGTGAAAAAGACTCATTCAAAGGTGCTAGAAGGCTCTTAACGATTCTCACAGCACATGCTCTT